ATGGTTCTGTGCATTAAATGTATCTTGGGGTATAGAATATATTCAAGTTCCCTTTGATATTTGCTGATATTTGGTTAAGAGCTCAGCTCTTGTGTGTGCAAGAGAAGCCAAAGTCAAAAGCAGATCCTGGTTCATGCTGCTTCATGACATATCCCTGGCATATGTAGCATTATTTAGTCCAGAATACCATTCAAGAAATTTGGGTTGGAATGTAAACTTTATATAATCACCAGTTTTGCATAACACTTCAAATTGTTTGTCTTGTTCACAGGCCTTTTAAAAGAATTTTTCCTCTGAGATTACTGACCTGAACAGGGCAGTTGTGACATACATGGTCTTTTTATTATATCATAATTGCCTCTCCCAGATTGAGTATTGCTGGAAATTTCATTGAAAAGGACCAATGTCCATGCCAAAACAAAAAATCCAAGTAAATGTCAGCTAAAAACATATGTCAAGCCCTATATTTTTAACAGGAAGCATAGGAGGCACATATTTGGTTATTGTCAAACACACGTCACAGCTATTTCTACAAGAACTGCAGGCACAAAAATATAAGTTGGAATGATTTTATTATTTCAAGTGGCAGGGATGGGGAGTTGCTATGTGAATACTTTTTGCTTCCCATTAAACACGTCTTACCTTTTGTTTTCACACATCTTCCCAAAATGTGGTAAAAGGAGATGGGTGTTTGGTGAAAGAAGGAAGGCTTACCTATTTCCAAGGCAACTGGTCCATTGCTTCCTTATCCAATCACACATTGACTAATTGAATCAGAATGTGGTTGGTACATTCCTTCCTCCCTGCCTTCAATGTAAGGGCTGTAGGTAGCAGAGTTTGCCCTCCGTGATGCTGTCACAGATCCAGATCACAGCACTGTGGCATTTCATGTTCATCACGTGATCTGTGATTGGTTGAGATCATACCATGAAGAAGCCCTTTTATAATCCATACATTCATACAGGGACACCCAAATAACAGCAGGTGGGAAAAGTATGGCTTCAAACAGGAACAGCAGGTGTGTGGGTAGAAGAAGTTTCCCATTCACTAGTTTCTCATTGCAATTTTGCAGCAAAAGAACCCAACTTCACAAAAGTTTGGCGTAGCACAAATTTTATTTAACTAGACCTTCAAGGAAACTGATACCATGGTGCTAAAACTATGACCTGTTTGCTCGAAGTGTGGGGCAAATCCAGGTGCCTTTCCAGGTCTGAGCATCAGGGATACAAGCACATAGAACTTTTAATCCAAACTTTTCTTCCAAAATACCAACCCAGCGTATTTGGAAAGACTCAGCAACCTTTAAGTGTGTATTATTGACCCATTTTTGATGGGCTAGTTGCCTTAATGGGGAATGATCAAATTATAGGAGCGTTTTAATTTTGTTTCATTAAAAGCACCTTAAAGAAAACCTTTGGGGGGGGGCTGCCAGTTAAAGACTGTGATTTGTTTCCAACAAAATCATCACATTAGCACAAGGACTTAAGCAATGTGCAATGGGATTTCCTCTCTCTTCAGAACAGATATTGGGGGGGGGGGCAAATAGAAGTGGATGCAACTATCTCATTTTCAGTCTACATGAAATGTACTAAATAAACTTAAAACACTCACTTGTCAGATCCATTGATTCAAGTGGGAATTCCTTCCAGACAGGAAGCAGCTGCAAGCTGCATTCAGATGTAATGTTTATGATCTTCCATGGCTTGAAGGATCAAGAAGGAGCACTGTTTTTGCTCTGTGCTTCCTCTCATGCTCCCCTTTTCTTCCATTCGTACATCCTCATTTGATCAGGCCTTTTTTACACTTACACAGACTATAGCTTGAGTGCATCCTCCAAACAAGAATTGCAAACCAAGATAAAACTGTCTGAACATAGCCACTGTATGCAGGGGGGGGGGGTGTTCTCCCTGGTAAGTGTGCAGAGAATTCCAGCCATATGCACACAGCTTTATATGATGGAGCAAACATTTGAGTATACTATAAAAATACACCTGTATTTTAAAGCTATAAATTTTAACACCCAAGGCTGAATTCTTGTACTTAGGCTGCTGAAATCCCACAGAAATCATGTCTACAGCTGCAGCTCTGTACATAAATTCTTTGGGCGTGTTGCATTAAATTCAGAATAAACATGCATAGGATTGCACTATAAATTGTAGGTCAGTGGTGAATATTGATGCTGTTTTCACTTGCAGGGCTGGCATAATGTAATGTTTTGTGATTTAATGTGTTGATGTGTGGATGTAGCAGTTGTATGGAACATTCCACAATAAATGCTTATTTGCAGGAGCAACAATTTCTTTTATGTGTTCCCCAACCCCACATTAAAGCTAAATCCTGCTGCAGTAATCATCATCTATTTGTAATAGACCTTGCTAATCAGTCTTGCTCAGTCTGTAGAGTTGCTTATCCTTTTAGATAAATCCTTATTATGAGCCTACAGTGGTCAGTTTTGATCATTTACTTGGCTTATTTATTATATGTATCTGATATGGTAAAACAGCAGTAGCCCAGCCTGTAAAAGAAAAATGGCTAACTACTTCAGCACAGTCCAGATAGACTGTAGCACAAACCATTATAACAGTTATTTCAGATTTCAAAGTTTGACACCATTTCTTGGCAAGGATGGCCCTATCAATAGGCAGTATGTGTTTTGGGGAATCATGAGAGGAATGCAAATTGATTTATATAATTTTATTATCTTTGCATTTTGCTGCGAGGGAAATGGGATGTACTTGGGATTTTCTCCCACAGGTTCTAAAGTAAATTGGCTGCCCTTGGGTACTTTGACTTAAGGTATGATGGGAGGTCCATTTACTGCCCCACCTAGGACAGCAAAACATCTTGAGTAATCTCTTGTCCTCCAGTCTGTATCTGTCTCTAAGTGTTTTCACGACTAAACTTGATCAATCAGGTGCTTGACCTTGTGTTAGATCTGCAGACATTTATCTTGTTACCTGACACTCATGCAGAAAGACATTAGTTTAGATCAGGGGTCACCAACCCAGCAGCCTTTATCGGTATCCCCAATAGGGACTCTGGACTCGGAGCTGTCATTTTTTTGAAAAGACTCTTCCATTATAGGGGGAAAGCGTTTCTAGCCCTCTTATTGTGAAATAAAATGTGCAGCTAACCTTCCAAACAATTTCTGTTAAATGAGCTAGCCTGGCTACAAAATTCACACACCAATTCCTGCCTTCTTCTGTTCCCCTTATGGTGCCACCTGATGCAGGCCGTGCCACCTGTTTGCACGGCAGGGCCAGCCTTGGCATCAAACCTTCTGGCAGGAAACTTTTGATGAGAAGTTGTTATGCTAGATAATCAGCACAGGCAGTGTGCTGGGCTATAGAATGTCACCTTAAGTATTCTTCAGATTATTATTTTTTACACTCCATTGCATAAAGGCTTTGCTTTCTCTATGATGCTTTTGCTGCAACACTGTTTAAAAGCATTAGGGACTGAAATGGATATCCCTTTCTGTTTAATGTCTGAGGAGGGGCCATATTAGCAGTACTCTCCCCTTTCTCCCAAAGGCTTAAAGATACTGGCATCTTCACTGTTTGCCCCTGCACTAACATGGAAACTGCTTCCTTGTGGTGCCATACCATAAGCCAACTGTTGGGTTAGGACCAACATGATCGAACCTGTCCAGTTGCTTCATTCACACACATTGTCAGTGACCTGATTGCACAATAGGACATCAGCTCCCATCTTGGTTTTCATCATTCAAGCCATTTCTGTGAAAGAGTCCAGGCCCACTGCCCAGACTCATTGACAGTACCCCCTTCCCAAGCAATGTTACGGAATAATCACCATTCCCCCTCCCTCCCTCCATGGATTTACCTCCCACGTTTTAATTTTTTTCATGGCTGTGCTGCCTCTTCTATTTTTGTTGTTTGTGTGTATGTTATAGGGACGTAGGTGGCGCTGTGGGTTAAACCACAGAGCCTAGGACTTGCTGATCAGAAGGTCAGCGGTTCGAATCCCTGCGATGGGGTGAGCTCCCATTGCTCGGTCCCTGCTCCTGCCAACCTAGCAGTTCGAAAGCACGTCAAAGTGCAAGTAGATAAATAGGTACCACTCCGGCGGGAAGGTAAACGGTGTTTCCGTGCGCTGCTCTGGTTTGCCAGAAACGGCTTAGTCATGCTGGCCACATGACCCAGAAGCTGTACACTGGCTCCCTCAGCCAATAAAGCGAGATGAGCGCCGCAACCCCAGAGTTGGCCACAACTGGACCTAATGGTCAGGGGTCCCTTTACCTTTATGTATGTTATATACATTGCTCTTTCTATTCTGTAATGTTATAATGGGCTGTTTCCATCTTGGAAAGGCAACTTATCAGTGCTATGAATACATAAACCCCTGGTGGATGCTGACCAGCAGGGCCATTTCCATTCCTTTCACCATACCTGCCAGTCATATAAAGCTTGGGCTTCCAAGTATAAGCTGGCTGTGACAGCTCCAGTCACTAGCAGTGTGCAATCGTACTTAGCTATGAGTGATTGCCAAAGAAGAAGCAGCCCTCTGTGAACACTGATGGCACAGTTTCTTCCTCTGAGCAGTCTTATCAGCCCCAACTGTGCAGAGAAAGCTATTTCATCACACTATTTTGCAATATTTCATTTTAAACACTGACCTGTTAAAAAGAATCAGTTTGAGAAATAATAATTTAATGAAATAAGGCATTTCAGTATAAAACTATTTTGTAAGTTATTATATATCAATACAATTCATTTGCCAGTGTTCCTATCTATAGATATTGGTTATTGTAACAATCCTGGAGAGGGGTTATTTAGAATTTCAGTGTTTTTCATTAAGCCACATTTTATGTTTAGTATGTCTGGTTAGTATTAATGGTCTGTCAGGGAGAAGTGCTTGATGGCCAAGTTCTGAAGATGGCAACTGGTGTTAAAAATAGGAAACTGCATTTTAATGAGCTTTATTTAACCAGTTGTAGTTTCTGAAGCTAATCTTTTACTTTTCTTTCTCATTTGCTAAAGGTTCGACATCGATGGTGTGAGCTTGTTATCAAACATAAATACACAGCAGGGTATGTTGATGTTGAGAAATTCCTCAAGGAAGACCAGGTCAGTACTATTTACTAACATTTGCATTTAGCCAGAGTATCACAGGTATGTGAGTGTTGGTATCTTGAAATAGGGATAGATGAAACTGCTTATTTTATGAACAAATTTCCTTGATTCGTTTTTGTACAAGAATACATTTTTGACTGGAGAACTACAACATAAAATTTGGAGGCAAGGAAATTTCAAAGGGTAGCTGCATTTCAGTTCCACGTTTTGTTTCGTGGTGTGAAATGTAGTTCACATTAAAAATGTGAGGCAAACTGATTTCTCCCCCACTGCTCATTGGAAATTACCCTTAAATGGTCCCACCAATAAATCCTATTGTACAGTGGTACCTCGCAAGACGAATGCCTCGCAAGACAAAAAACTCGCTAGACGAAAGGGTTTTTTGTTTTTTGAGCTGCTTCGCAAGACGATTTTCCCTATGGGCTTGCTTCGCAAGACGGAAACGTCTTGCAAGTTTGTTTCCTTTTTCTTAACACCGTTAATACAGTTGCGACTTGACTTTGAGGAGCAACTCATAGAACGCGGTGTGGTAGCCTTTTTTGAGGTTTTTAAAGACTTTGGTGATTTTTGAAGCTTTTCCAAAACTTTCCCGACACCGTGCTTCGCAAGACGAAAAAAATCGCAAGATGACAAAACTCGCGGAACGAATTAATTTCGTCTTGCGAGGCACCACTGTATTTGTCATAACTTGTGTGGACCACATCAGCAGCCTTCTGACAGCAGCGTTGCTACTGAATGGGGGAAGGGGTGTGGCAGCAAGGTCTGGGCTAAAAACGCTACTAGAGACCCTGAGGCAAATATTTGGCTGGTTACTTAAACTCTGCACCCCTTAGCCTAACTCTTGGTCACTTGCAATTCTCCTCTGTTTCTGACTTCAGCAGTGGCCAGCCAAAGGTACTTAGGATTAGACAAGTTCAGCCCCTAACATCAGAGCAGCTCAGTTCAATAGTAGTTGGACATTGCTGGGCCCCTGAAAGCTGCAGAATCCACTAGCTTGTAGCAATATACAGATATCTTGCCCTGAGCCCATGGGATAAAGTATCATCCAGGTTATTTCAGTTGCTTGGTTTGTTCCCCTGCCTGCATGTCCAGACCTTAAATAAGGACACTTTACAACATTTTAGCGTAGATTAATTATATTAAAACCATGTTTCAGATTTTTTAAAAGAAGCAATATTCATGCCAATTGGAAAAATAATTATGTCTCAAGTAGGCATAGTGTCATTATGATTTTGAAATAATTTTCCATTTGTTTTTCTATGTATAATACTTCCATGAAGGGTTCCATGAAGCATTGTGCTTTCATAGAAGTAGCCTCTGCAATTTTCCAGATCTCCCTCTTCAGAACACATATACTGTATATTTATATTTGTGGCTGTTTGAGGAGTAGAACTCCTGACACCAAAGCTGCAGATAACTATTGGTCCTTTATTTCAATCATCTCCAAGAACGTGTGCAATCTATGGAATGATAATGCATGAAACTGAAGTCTTATGTGTTTTCCAGTATTGAAAGGGGACTTGGTTGTTTCAAAAGTCTGAAGAAAATGCAAATGCAACCATTAACATTTAGAGTAACAGAACCAGCAGTGTTTACTAAATTTTGATGTTTGAGTTATGGCTCATGGAATAGTCAATCAGAATGAGAACTCTCAGTGTCGGTTTTACTTTCCAATTTGGCAGTAAGTGGTAGGTTGGTGGAATCTTACCACGGAAGTAACTTGCCAACAGAAGGGCTTTTTTCCCAGCCGGAACTCACCAGAACTCAGTTCTGGCACTTCTCAGGTGGGCGCCATTTCCATTCTAAGAGAACAAGGGAGGTGTTCATGGTGAGTTCCAGCACCTCTTTTTCCAGAAAAACAGCACTGACCAATACTGTTTCCCCTAGATGTTAAATACATACTAGTCAGTCAGTATTTGTAACAGAGATGTCCCCAAAAGTTTTATGTCTATTGTTCTATTGCAGTTTGCAGAGTAACTGTTAACTATTCTACTGAAACTAGTGCAATTTTCATAGCAAGAACACAAGAATCACCTTGTTAGGTCAAACCAGGAGGCCATCTAAGACAACAGTGGCTAGCCAGGTGCCCCTGGGAAGCAATATTTTAGGAAATCATGAAGCTAGTCCCCCACTCTGGATTGTTCCTAGCATACTGTTTGATACATGGAGGTTCCAGTCATTGAGTTAGAGCTATGAACTATTAATTTGTCTCATACTTCCTTCATCACTGCAGGGGTGGATCTATGGACTTGCAGCTGTTGGGCTCCAATCCCCATCAGCCAATACCAATACGATCAGTGGTTAGGGATGATGGTTGCTGGAGTCCAGCTACAATGGGAGGACCACAGATTCCCCTCCACTAGTGACTGGTATCATAGACTGTGGTGAATCTTGACTACAGCTTGTGGTTTGTGTAGGACAGGCAAATCATGAGCCTAGGTTTGTATGTAACACTAAGCCAAGCCATGGTTTAGCCCCAGGTAGCAGAGCAGCAGCAGGACCAGAGGAAGAGTGCTGCAGGAAGCTGTACATGTGCTCATTTTCACTAAGACAATTTGGATTAGTGTTACACATGAACTGGGACACTGCATGCTTTTGAATTTTAATACTTTTCAGTTTCTCCCCTTATACTTTTACAGTGTCCATGATTTTATACAGTGCTTCCTTGGCATCCAACTATAAGCAATGCGTTAAAAACGCCTGTAGTTTTTCAAAAGTTAGAAGTGCCTATATAACCATCTATTATAACTCCAGGATCTTATTTTGAAGTGGTTCAAACCAGTTTAGATCCCATCCAAATGCATATGGAGCTAGGGTTTTTATTAAGTTTCTGTGACCATTCTGTTGCCTAATCACTCAGTTTGGATATATGCTGTTGCAACTGCTCACAATTTGAGGATTTGCCATCATAAATAATCTAGAATCACATGCTAATTTGACTTTCCATTAATCTCTTTTCAGATCATTTTTAAAAATTAAATCGCACTGATTTTAGTAACAGCGCCTTCAGAAATCCAACTGCTTATACCTCTTCATTGCAAAAATTGTCTATTTTTACCCTCTGTTTTCTGTCTTTTAACTAGATTCTGGCCCAAAGCCAGTGACTGAAACTAATAGAGTTGTTGAAGTTTTGAAAAAATGACATAACATATTCATATGTATTAAATGCACAACTGCATGAGAAAAAGTGAAATTTTAGTTAATAATATGGCTACCTAAGTTTTGCAAAACGTGACTTCTTAGCTATATGCCTCCCACTTCTAGAACCAACTCTGCAAGTTCTAGAAAATGGAAATAGATATTAGTCTGTATCCATAATAAATTGCTTGCTTGCTTCCAACTGCAATCAACCAGATTTTTAAAATTCCCCATGGTTGCAGCAGGCATGATCTTGTATTTTCAGGATAGTACAGAATTACTGTCTGGGTGCAAAAAGGTTCTGTAAAAATATTTCAGTAGAAGACTTAAGTTTTATTCCAGTGAGGCTCACTTGGCTATAAAGATTTTGACTTTTCAATCTCAACTACAAAAAAAATGTTATAACATATTATATAGAATATTATTAATATTCTGAGTAGACCAATTGACATTACTGGGCATGGCTAACATAGAACTATTAAATTACAGTGGATCTACTTTGAGTAGACTATAGTAGGAAATAACTTTGTGGGTTTCCAGTTCTGTTATGCTTTTTAAAAAGTCTTACAAAGAACCCTGAAAGTTCTTAGGATTAAAACTTGTGCATGTTTAAATTGTAAGTTTGGTACAGCTGCTGTTACCTTGAAAAGCATCACACTGGAATTGATTATATTATAGGATTATTGTTTTCTTCCTCTTTCAGGCAATGGGTGTCTACCTATATGGAGAGTTAATGGTGAATGAGGATGCAAAACAACAAGAAATTGCACGTAAAAGTTTTGCCACAACCCGTGACCAAATGGATGCGTCCTCCGCTAAAGTAGTGGCAGAGATGTTGTTTTGATGAGGTGGTTTTTCTTTCCCAGATAGTTCATTTCTCAGGGGAAGAAAATAGTTTATGAATGAGTAAGTTTATTTATCAAAACCTAAAATCTCTTAAAATCCTCAAAGTAAAGAAAGCTATCCAGAGAGGGAGCTGTGTTAAAAAGTAGGATGATAATAATAGGGTAAAATCATAAAAGATGGCCAAGAATGTTTCAATGTAAGTTTTTGAAAGCAACTAAAAAGTTTTTGAAAGCAACTAAAAAGTATCTGTATTTCTATGAGCAAGCAAATATTTTGAAATCTGGACTCTAAGATTGTTATAGTGTATCATATGCAAACTGTGATCAAAACATAGAACACTTGAGGCTGAAAAGAATCCGCACAATTTTTACATATGTTTGGAGCATGTGAGAATGGCAAGTGTTATAGCTTATAGCTTACATTCTTACATAGTTGCTGGTATCTTTGACGGGAGCTCCCAGCAAATAAAAATTACCTATGCTCTTCTAAATACATGTAATATTTGGATATATCTGTGGAGGAAATAGGTAACTTTTTATTGTATTTAATTGGTTTAACATGAACCTTTTTAATGCCTCATTTGAGGCAGGATTGCCAAGGGAAAATAACAACTTTATATCAAGTTGAACATCATTTTGCTGGCCAGTTTTTGGAGTACCAGGTGAGGGTTGGACATTTCTTATATATGGCTTTTGGAGCAGCCTGAACCCATTTATAAATCATCGGCGTTCCCTCAGTTTTTATGTGATCAGCATGTTGTGTAATGCTAAATAGAACTGGTCTTAGCCATCCTATGGTGGGCATTTTGACAGCCTGTGATGCAGTTGGACAAACAGCCTGTGATGTGGTTGGGCAAACAGCCCTTAACGTTTAATCAATGCATTAAACAGCAACTATTTTAATACTGTCGTAAGTGGATAATTTACTCTGAAATATTTCCCCTTTTCTATTTGGTTTATTGTTATACAGAGTAATTAAAGTTTAGTAGAAGGATCCTTTCCAGGCTAGTATTCCTAGGTTTTCATTTAATGAGGTTAACAATTTAAAAGACACAATTCATTTGCATTGTTCACATAACTTTTAAACGAGGTAGTATTAAAAGACCAACCAGTAACAAAATTGTTCCACTAGAAATGAATGCTTAGGAAAGGATGCATCAGGATATAAAAAGTGTTAATTGTGTCTGTGTATTTTTATTTTTTGTACAGTGGTACCCCGCAAGACGAACGCCTCGCAAGACGGAAAACCCGCTAGACGAAAGGGTTTTCCGTTTTGGAGGCGCTTCGCAAAACGAATTTCCCTATGGGCTTGCTTCGCAAGACGAAAGGCCATAGGGAAATCTCCGGGACAGCGGGGAAGCGCAGCGCGTCTTCCCCACTGTCCTTGGACCTCCTCCCGCCGCCCGGCTTCGGAACGGAGCTCCGAAGCCGGGCGGCGGGGCGGGAACTCCTCCTCCCGCCGCCCGGCTTCGGAACGATGCTTCGAAGCCGGGCGGCGGGGCGGGAACGCCTCCTCCCGCCGCCCGGCTTCGGATGGCTTTCCCGAAGACTTGGGGTGGGAGGAGGGTTTTCCTTCCCACCGCCAACATTCAGAATGCTGTTCTGAATGTTGGCGGTGGGAAGGAAAAACCCTCCTCCCACGCAAGCCCCGGGAACAGAGGGAAAGCGCTGCGCGCCTTCCCCTCTGTTCCCGTACCTGTCCTGAAGGCTTGCGGTGGGGAGAAAAGCCCTTCTCCGCACCGCCAGCCTGGCAAGCGGTTTCCCTAGGAACGCATTAATTGATTTTCAATGCATTCCTATGGGAAACCGTGCTTCGCAAGACGAAAAACTCGCAAGAAGAAAAAACTTGCGGAACGAATTAATTTCGTCTTGCGAGGCACCACTGTAGAAAGGGCTGCTCTGGTTATGATGTTGAATATGGAAAATCTTGTTCTTCATATGTGGGGGGACAAAGATATACCAAATAAACTGGTGGGCTTTGCTTACAAACATATATTCAAGCTTGGCTTCTGGTTAATGTAGACTATAAGGAACTAGCAAAATGTGATTTGATAACGTGTTCAGTTTCACCTTAATTTATTTAGAACAGAGTCAGAAATTCAAATTTCAAATGGGTTATTCTTCTACTGTGTGAGCAATTCATTCAATCCACCACCCTAATTTTTTTTAATTAAAAATAACAATTTATATTAAGAACACTTAACTCTGTTGGCAATAGAATACTCTTCATACTGTTTTATGAACTTTTTTATACTGTTTTATAGAGCTGATAAGTATGATTTGTTTTGAGTAGCCCAAATGGTGAGCCAACGAATATTCTAGCATGTAAACGAAATGAGTGAAAAGATTAGCTTTTTCAAGTTATCTTGATGGAAAAGAGAAAAGCCACCCACATTTCCTTCGTTTTGGTTGTTTGGGTTCCTGGCATGCTGATTTGTGACTTAAGATTAAAATCACATTGCCAGGGATTACCACATAACCATGACATTGGCATCTGTAACTGCATGTAGGTATGGCAATCTCCTATCCATACTGTTGGAACCCCTGAATCTACTTCTCCTAAAAATGTACAGACAAGTCACTGAAGGACTTCAGCTGCTATTGTAACTATGTTCAGATGAAGACCTCTCTAGCGAGGTGCAGAGCTTAGCTGATTGGTGAACAGTGACTGATTTCCTCTTTGTTCACAGTGGCTAAGTTCTGCACCTGAAGAGAAGGTGAGATGGAAAACTCTCTTAAAATGTTGACTGCTGCTGTAGTAGTATCATAGCACATGTTTGCCTGGAATCTAGGTTGCAGATTGTAACAGGCGAAGAAGCCGTGGGAAAGATGCAAACCCTGTACGCTTCCTCCTGCCAAGAATGCAAAGAATCCACGTGAGAAAACACCCTTGCTTGGCTACAGTATAGAAGTAATCAATAACTGTGGAAGAGCCTAATGCTAAAAAGTATTGTATTTTATAAAAGAATGTGCCGTTCTTAAAGCAGCCCCGATGGGTGCAAAGTCCAGTGTGTATATTATTGATATTAAATGGCTGTTTCTTATTGGAACTGTCCCTTTGCAGCAGATACTGTTCCTGGCTGTCGATGGACCCGTCCTCCGGTGCCTACTGAGCTGATATCAGTTCTGATTTTATATACTGGCTCAGTTCAGCAGGAACAGGAGTCGAGCCCTAAAGCAAAAAAGATTCTTTTCTAAATGCACAGACGCCTATGAAAACCTAACTCTTACTTCATGTCTGAAACCAAAGATAGAACAGACCAGTACTTTGATGTGGATCACAAACAAATCCTTACATGGACTACATGCCATGCTCTTGCAAAAGGAGCTAGTAGCTTTGCCAGTGGGTGGGTGAGGTATGTGTAGGCTGTGTCAAGTTAGGATTACTCCTTCAATGAGGAAGCATCCTGGCTACTTCATTCAGGCATTCAACCTACTAGTTGCTATTTTCTGAACAGGGGAAGAATGTTTTGTTGTTGCTCTTCTTTCCAATTAAAATATATTTTCAAGGAAGCTGTGCTGGTAGTCACAGAATACTACTGTGGTGTGACTTTTTATACTATGCTGTGGAATACTGGACCTGATGTCTTCTCAAGTTACATTCAGCCTTATGACAGAGCATGTGACATTCACATGGATATCAAGTTCCAGTTTCTACTCCATTACATCTGTTGCGATTCTCTCCCACTTCATGCATACAAGGAAAATGAGATTGAGAGAGATGCCCCCTTTCAAGAAGGATAGTAAAGAAAAGCCATCCCCTACATTACTGAACTTTTTTACAAGCATTCCTTCACTGTGACAGAGTAATAAGTTTTACCACTGTTTCCCTTGCAGGAAAGATCAGAGACTTTTAATGTATCTTCTAGCAAAGGCTGGTGGTACTAAGATTTCATTGACCTTGGACATCAAAGGAACAATTTATGTGACTGCTAAAACAATCAGCTGACAAACATTTTACCCCATTTTCTTTGCCAGAGGGTAATGGCAACGAAGCAGGAAAAAACTCCAACATCCCCTCACTTCTGTAAGTGTCTGTGGCGCCATCTTATTATCTGCCAGAAGACACTTTATTGTAATATTTATCATGAGGTATTATGCAAACCAGGCCAGAAAATCACCGGAGACAGATTTATTTAAATAGGTATTTTGTACTACTTTTGCATTTAGCAAACTGATAATTAAAATCTGCTGCAAAATTTAAAGTTGGTTTGGAGCAAACAAGTAATTACTAATCTAAATTGTTAATATTGAGATTGTGGACATTTTTATCATGTTTAGCACAGCTACAGGGGAAAATAACTAGATGCAAAATGGACTCTTGGGGGATGTTTAATCTGAAGAAAACTGAAGTGACAAAGATGTCTGTCTTTCTCAAGGTCTTTTTTTAATGGGTAACTTATTGCCACAATATTGTGAGCACACCATTAAAACTCTTAACCATGAAATAGTGACAAGCTGGTCACATCACTTTGCTATGAATGAAGCTAATCATGTTACTTATTAATCACAGTAGTTGTGGAAGTCCTTTCTTGTAAAATAATGGCAATAAGCTTTATAAATAAACAATTTTGTAAATCACGCATGTGCCAAAGTAGTATTTTCTCCTTTGTATTTCGTCTCAAAATTATCAGTTGGTTTACTGATGACTACAAAAAGAGAAGGAGAGAATAATAAACCTTTATGAATGCACAAAACCAGAAACTCTCTTCCTGCTTACCTTCCTTAGGGGCATTCACCAAGTGCCCATATGCACACAAGAGAGCTTCTCTGTCTGTGGTGTCCAACTCAAAAGAGTTCCGTTCCCAAACTCTAATTAGCTGAAATATGCTCCGACAGCAGTCCTGGATTCAGTCTTCCAAATTCAGGAGAAATCTGGAGTTTGTATGGCACCATACTGAGTTACTGCAGTCACAGTTAATGTAGACCTTTTGATGTATTCAAGAAAGGATCTGCTGCATTCATGAAGCAAGTTATGCTCTATTTCACAGGGTTTTTTTTGCAGAAAATAACAAAGAGAAAGCAAGTAATTCTTTTGTTGTTCAATTGAGAAAGATGCAAAAGCTGAGTAAGGCGACTCAAATGCATTTGCCACTGTACATGAAGGAGCTGTTGCCTTTTTTTCTGTCCTTGTGATTTTATTTTGATTTGTTAAATGTCAACATATAAATTATATTGCCGAGCATCTCTCTCAGCACAGCCTGTTAACCTAGTGAAAAAGCATTGCCTTAAGTGCAGCACCATTGTTGTCGTCATCCTCTCTGGATGTTCATGTTTAGCTTGTTGCACTGTCAAACAACAGGGATGTTGCCCAAGGGTTACAGTTCCTACATTGAGTTAATAATTCCCCCTCGATTACATAGATATGCCAACTTCCATTTGTTAAATAAAATAAACTTTTCCTCCCAAATATCATAACATCTCTGGTGGGCAAGAACACATTGTGCTGGCTATTATTTTGACATAACAATAGATTACGCTATACTATTGTTAACTATATGCTGGTTTGCCAGATTGGGTGGATCGGTAGTCTAAGGCAACTTCTTTGTCTCTCTGGGTTAGAGCAGCACCCTTTTTACCATGTAAATCTCTGGATCATGGTAGTGTAGAAAAGGCAATACATCAGACATTGAGGAAGAATTCTTATATAATTGCTTAAGGCAATACAATTCATCAAATAAACTGAACTCTACAAGAGCGTATGCTACAATAAATATTTACTTTTTAAAGGGTCACACAAGACACTGTTGTGATGAGCTGACACAGGTTAATTTTGTGGTGTCTCGCAAGTTAAGAGTTAGTTCTATGACACGTTGAAATTGAGAAAACCAATCCAGAAGTTATGCCAAATAACACAGATAGAATTGGTAAGTAGGGCTGGGCGATATCTGGTTTTCAACATCGTGATATATCAACAGCTAAACATTGCGACTGAAGGCTGTGCTTCGCCAGCTCAGTTATTTTGAAACTGTTCTCACAGTATGGCCTACAAACCAGTGTTGTACGATGTATGAAAACATTGCCCAACCCTACTGGTAAGGTCTTTAGAGACTGTTGATGCAGTAAATTACGAATCCTAGGCTGCTTCTTCATGCACTTGTTTCTTTTCTAACAAAAATGCATTGAAGAATCTTAAGATTTTTACCACAAATTGGAATAATTCAACTTCATGTTGAGGCTATCAAAACCTAAATATAAAAGCCCATAAAGCATTACAGTAGTGTACCTATTTCCTTCTTCAGAACCAGGAGGCTTGCTTGAAGAAAACACTGCAGAGGACTTTCATTTAGCTAATGGCAGTCTAGTTTCCAAGAAGACAAAATGAGAGCAGAAATAGATGCAAGCTCTGCAAAACCATCAGGAAAAAAGAAGCAAGCATGTTTTTCAAACATAGAACTATTTGCCTGACCCAGTGCATGAAGGAGTTGTGACATAATTTACAATTAAAATTTACAAGAAACATGGAAAGTGGAGCGATGTCAAAATAGGAATAATTTAGGAATCCACAACACTATCCAGGGAATTACTGTAGTGACTTTTTTTTAATCCCACGCTGTAACAGATGAGCTTAATTGGCTAATAAAGAGAACTACTATGATTAAACCAAAACAAGCAAAAAGCAAATTTAAAATAAACAGGGGGAAAACCAAATTCTTAGCAGCAATGAATTCATGAAATTGTTTTCTTTTTCCTCTCTTACTATTATTTAAAGCAAAGCAATTGCTTGGTAGGGACTATAGTACTGAAGCTTTGCTGCTGTCAGCTGAAAGTAGCCTGGGGTGTTTTGAGTTGCTTTGAGGGAGGGAGGCACAGCTTCAGCCTGAGTTAGCTGTATGATGTTGGGCATTAAAAGGCCCCAGTCAGTTTTGAGTACACTTAAGCCCTTCAGAAAGCAGCTCTAGAGGTTTTAACGCCTTTAAAAGAGTCAGACAGATGGCTGAAGGAAGATAGCCAGAATAAGCAAGGGAAACTCCTTTTTGGCATTTGCTCTCATATGGACCACCCTAATGCAAATTCCTGGAATCAAAGCTAAGGTAGCATTTGAAATTGCAACCATGAACACGTCTTTTTAAAAGTTCAGGCAAGCATTTGAAATAAAAAACACATCAGTTTTCAGGCATTAGGCTGCTTGGTAGGTGTACTTAAACAGACCCACATGTTGATGTTACTGAGAATTATGAGCACTTGAAGCACCTGCCAATATGCTGTTTTTCTAACCTTGGTGAAGACTGCAATGCACAGACTGCAAAGCGTCCAATAGTTAGTCTAGGAGCTCCACAGGTGTAGAGCAGTAGGAATAGTACATTCTCTAAATAAAGGGAGGAAAGCAATACTGCCCTGCCTCTAAATTAATATACGTATTGAAATACAAATTTTTGTAGAAAATCATATTAGAATATGCAAAGTATAATGAATAAATACACTTGTATAAAAGTTTATAATTTGTATGCATGAGTGGGAGGAGCACATGCCAATTAGAGAGCACAGGGAGAGAACTCCCCATCTTTCATCCAGCATGATTTATACATTGTTGGAAAGCTCCCTCCTCTGGCTGCCTCAATTAGGTAGAACAACTTCAGGCCTGTTCCACAGTCTTGTGATCCAAGTTGAACCCATTAAATTCCACCCCAAAACACTGAGCTGCGCACTGAACCCACTAATTTGTAATGCAGAGCCTTCTAAACTTTTCATGTTGGGGACACACTTTTTAGACATGCATCATTTTGTGACACAGTGATTCAGTTTTGCATAATTTCATGAAATGGTAATTCACTTTTACTAGCAAACCGGAGGTGAAACTAACCCCTTTCTAGCCCTGTGGGGAGCGTTCACGTGACATGCCTGCACACTGCAGCTGATGCACTAATGTGTCACGACACACAGTTTGGAAAGCTCTGTTGTACTGGCTGGTTTGCATATGGAGATGTCTGCCGACAAAATATCCAACATCTGAAATAGCCACATCATAGTTAGAATGGTGAAGGAAGTACTCCCTTTTCTAGATGTTTTATTGCAATATATTCCATATTTTAAGAAGTATGTGTGTGAGAGAGTTTTATTATCCACACTTTGGGACAAGTCTTGAATGGAAAGCTTGCCAAGTGAACTCGGAAATGAGTAAACATCTAAGTGCGTGCTTTCTGGGAAGTATGTCCTTTCTGTAAATAAAAAATGTGAAGGATTTCCAGACCAATCTACGATTTCTTCCCACTGAAGACTCTTAAGCTGCAAACTTGGGAACATTATGACTTGGTGCTTCTAAATATGCGAATTGACTGGTAGGGTGTAAAGAGGCTTGTTGTGAAGGAAAAATCAAACAAAATTTATTTCTAAGCTGCACAAGTATTTTCTTGGCATTGCTCAAAGGCGGCCTGTGGTTTAGAAAGGTCTGTGGTGCACATTGCTGTAGTACACTTGCTGACTAATGCTCTTTTAACAAAATATAGATCTGCTTCCTTGGGGGGGGGTGTCAGAAGAAATATAAGACGGTGATTGGTCACTAATCTGACACAGGGATTTACTTCAAAAGTGATCATTAACAATCGCTTGTGATAGGGCTTATATTTTACAAAGCAGCGTCTCAGAAACAAGCAGTTGTGTAGCTCCCAGAGTATGGAGAGATACCATTAATCACGTAGCTTTTCTCACAATTTCTCTCACAATGCAAAGACAGAAAAAGATTGATCCAATCCATGCTCAAATATCACTTCAAATTTACTGGCATTCAGCTACATAAGGAAAACCCTCCAGTACAATTACATTTTGTTTTCAGCCTTATGACTTTTGGGACAAAGTTAATTAGAAGAACGTCCTTTTAGGATGCAACCATATTAAATCAGAGAGTGACCTGAGAAAGGTCAGATATAATACTGCTCACAACTTCTATATCAATATTTTTAACTTTAGCATTCAACTGTACATACACATAGACACAAAACGCTTTCATATTTAAGGAAGCAAAAGTCCAAATACCTTCTCTCCATCCTCCATCTGGCTGTTCTGATTAGTTAGACTGAATATTGGGCGAAGCTGAGTATCACAAAGAAAACTAAAATCCACATTTTAGTTTTAGGAGGAGATCATTCACCAGCTTTACAGTCCTTTGATATTTCATTCCAAGTTGGCCGACTCTATTTGCAAGACGAGTTAGAAGACCAGTAACTTCTGGGATTTCACTGTCTGCAACTACAAACTGAAAGGGGAGAAAAAACAACAGAATTGAGAAAGTAGAAATGCTAGTATTTAGTAGAAAATTACACTGTAGAAGACAAAGAAAAAACAACCAGGGAAACCATCCCAATCTACAGCACGAAGAGAAAAAGCTCTTTGGGTTTTACAACAGAACAGAACAGTCTTCAAGCTGCACACAGACAGGCAGTAAAGTGACTAGGGAAGTCATCCCCAGTGCTTCTCTCACTTCCACACATAACTTGGGAGAAAAGCCCATTGTAGCATTGCAGGCACCATCACCTCGCTACCTTCAGCAGCACATGGGTCAGTGAACTGACAGGGATAATAATCCCCATCTCTTTTCCACCCTGCCCCCCATCTCAGAAAAAAAAGCCCTTTGGGGCCTTGCAAGAAGGCAGGCAACTTTCTACCCCTCTAAAAATAAAGTGATATTGGTGACCTAACTCTTTTCTTGGTTCTGCATTCAAACTAGAAATGAGTTCCTCTTCACAGAGGAGGGGGTTCCACAATGCAGTTCGCAACACATATTTAAAAATATTTTTAGGAGCTCAAATTTTCTGAGTTCAACGGTTTTGAACCCGAAACAGCCTCGGCCCAGTATACCTGAAGGAGCATCTCCACCCCCATCAGTCAGCCTGGACACTGAGGTCCACCTCCAAAGGTGTTCCGCTGGTTCCCTTGCTGTGAAAAGCATAGTTACAGGGAACCAGGCAAAGGGCCTTCTTGGTGGTGGAACACCCTTCAGATGTCAAGGAAATAAACAACTATCGGACTTTTAGAAGACATCTGAATGTTTGATGTTTTAGCATGTTCCGATATATGCTGTGAGCTGGCCAGAGTGGCTGGGGGAAATCATCATCATCATCAAACCAGAATTCTCCCCACCATAACTTTAATCCAGGTGTAGGAAAATGGTATACACCACCTTTTGGTTTGCTCCACCATGTGACCCAGAGGCTGTGATGAGTGCACACACAACTAAGGCACAAGCAGGGGCTTCCTTGTTCACAATGGACGTTCTGCAGAATTTTTATTTGTTCACACTGGTAGGTATCTTGCTATCAGTAAAAAAATGAAGAAAAATACTTACATGGGTAATAAATTCTTTGGCTACTGTATGTCCAGTAGGAGTAAACAGCAGAAAGCTGATAATCAGGTGTGTAACTACCAGGTTGCTACTTGATTTGTTTTGTTTTGTTCCGCTGCTAACTGCAGTCTGCAGATCTGTGACAGAAATAGTTGGAGTTCTGAACAGGGCAGTCAGATGGTCACATACAGATCTTGCTTCCACCTGTTGCAAGGAATAAAAGTTTGCAAAGTGAAAGATAAACATTTGTTCTCTTGAGATTTGCAGAAAAGCACATAACTGATTCCTGAGCCAGTGATGGAGGGTCACAGAGGGAGAGATTCTGCATCATTTACTTTCTGGACCACAAAGAGCAGAATGAAGATTCCAAAAGAACTAGAAACTCCCCGCTTTTGGTAGTCTTGAAATACTAAGCACCGAGGACCATGATACAGGGTTTGACCTCTCTCTTTTTTTGGTAAAAGGAAATGGTGAAAGTCACAAAGTGGAATGAAGTTAGGTTGTTCTATTGTGGGGAAGAGAACAGAAGGCTCTTTGAGAGCTCATGACAATACAGCAGCTACAAATCAATTAATCCCCGTGCAATCTGACCTCATCTGATAAAAAAATCTGATATGAATCCAGGGGGGTTGGTTTCCTTCTAGTATTGTTTAAAATACATCCCCCCCCCACCTTCCCGTCTTGGAGCAGCCAGAACAAACAGCTTCTGGAGCCAAAACAGAGGCAGGATTTGAGAGTCTGTGCATTAAAGGAAATTATTGGCTAGATCCTAAGAAGTATTACCTAAAAATATTTGCTACATAAAAGGCATGGCAGGAAATGGAAAATATCTCCTTCCTGGCAACCCTAAACACACTAGTTTTAAGCAATTTATTTCCGTATTGTGTCTTTCCCCCTCTGTCAACGTTTATAAATATGCTTCCTGATTTAAAAATGTCTATATCATTGGCCCAACGAATGCGGCAGGCTGCATTCTGGACCTTGAGCAGGACCTGGGCAGGAAGAGGGTAATCTGAAAGTGGGGGATATTGACATCGCCCCTTGTCATGGTCAGATTGAGGCTTTCAGCACCTTCTCCCCCCTGCAGAGGTGGGCCGCCATCATAGGCTAATGGGTTTCCAGACAGCTATAGGGGATTTTCTGGCTGGTATGACTGGTGCTTCTGTCAAAGCCCTGGCTGGGACATCCAAATAGCTCAAGCCATTGACATGATCACCCCTGAGCGTCTTTCTCCCACTTCATGGAACCCATTTAGCCCCCTGGTATACCCCAGAGTTTAGGATGAGGAAAAAAGTTGGGAGACAGTTTGAACACAAGTGGAGGAAAACTCTGGTCGAATGAAATTGAACGCTGGTGAGGACTAGTGGCAGGGAAGGTAACAAAGTAGGCTGGGCCAGATTAATGCCTCCTTGCAATATGGGGTGGTCCCTGCCAGCTTGAAGGAGGCAGTGCTAAAACCACTCCTCCAGAATCCCTCTCTGGTCTCAGAAAATCTTCAGGTCTATTTCCATTCTGTAATTATACATAAATTGATTTCAACATTAATTTAACTTCTGGCACCCCCACAACATGTATATAATGGCTGCAGTTTCACTCTTTTTATTTTGCCTACTCAGGGGTTAAAATTCTCCTCTCTGTGGAAACTGCTGCAAAACCACATGCTTAAAGAGTTTTTTTCTTTTTTATCCTTAATTTCAGTTTTGCAGCTGAAGAAAAAGGGGTGTGGGAGGAGAGAGTATTTACTGGAAAGGGTCAAGTTAGGGCATGAGCGGTTAAAGAAATTAAAAGGTGTAAACAGAACTAACCCCTGGCAGCATTTTAATGAGAGAAGACTTCGTAAGTAAAGGAAGTGACAATTAAAATTTCCAGAGTTTACTATTATTTTGTGGTGCCCATAATGAAGGTGCCAGGCTCACCTCTGTAGTGCAATTTTGCATCAAGAGAAGACTGCAGTCTAGTGTCACTGCATTTTTTACTACTACTGTCACTACCATTAGAAGCAGAACTATTCCCTGAACTTCAGGGAGGCCATTAATGTACAGAAAACTTACTGTGTACACTCTTACTTGTGCAAAACACAAGAGGCACATAGAGGTATTAATAAGCACACATACTAACATGGAACATATAACTGCTATCACTTAGCAAGCCACCTGAGTCACAGCTGCAGCAGCTCCTGGTTCTATCCCTCTTTGCCTGTGGGCAGTGAGCACATAGTGCACAGTCAGGCAACAGACCGCCCAGTTGCCAGAATTCAAAGGAATGCCATGGGATAAAGTTGATGAGAACATCCATAATGGACTAATGCAAAGAGTGTACATTACCCTAGAACAATGCCAGTTGTTGGAAAGGGGAAGAAATAGCCCAACATAATTGTGTTTCATTTATTTTTAACTTAAATTATTTTAGTGAGCTTTCTGGATAAAAAGTCAGGATAGAAATCAACTAATTGGCTAACTGAATAATAGCTCCCATGTCTTTATATGAAAAGGGTACTTGGCGGTAAGTCAGGATGCCTGCAGCTCCTTTGTCACAAGATCACTATGATTTCTAAAGGTATATTAGACAGGAAAGGTTAACCTAATGTCACTGCTATTGGTGATAATGGAAGAACTGTCTCGTTACCACCACACAAAGTTTTAACGTGATCATACTGTGAGACCGCCAAGAGCTATACAATTTTACTAGTGAATGATTCAAGAGTGACAACTGACGGTGCAGAAAGCTAGCTGAATAGAGATTATTACATTATAAATGCTAAATGGACAGCTAGCATTTTATTCACCTGCCCTACTAATAGTCTAATCCTCAGAGCTGCCCTACTAATAGTCTAATCCTCAGAGCTGCTATTTTCCACTACTGATAAAGCAGAGTTGCTGTGGCCAGCAACAGACTTAATAGAAAGTCTTGTGACTGGAAATTTTAATGAATGGAAGATCCCTAGAAAGAATCTCTAAGCCTTAAACCAGGAACAGAGGACATCTGGGCCACAGGCCAAATTAGGCCTGCTAGGGGTCCTAATTTGGCCCAAAAGGCCATTTTCTCCAAGGCACGGCTGCCTGATGTCATATGAAACCAGGTATAGGGCAGGCAAAGCCATGACTGCAAACGCACTCCCAATTACTCCTTGGCAAAACTGCGTTGCATTCAGTGCCTTTTAAATTTCCTGCCAGAGGCAAGGCCCACTTTCCAAGCTCCTGAATGGAGCCAATCCCTGCAGAAAGTGGGGTTTGCGATCAGCACTGGATTTCAATTACAGCCTTTACAGCCTTAGCTTAAATAACAACTGGGGCAAAATATTTCTTCTACACCAATGCCTCACATTTCTGACATATGGCCGATTACTGAATTCTCGCACGCATAGATAGAACTACCCACCATTGTTTGAGTTCTCCGCCGATTCTCTTCACCTGGATAATAGTAAAATGCCAAAAGCCACAACAACGCATCTGAGGATTCCACTTGTGACAACAACTGTTCTGCTGCGATATCAGCCCATTCTCCGAAATGAACAAACAAAAACCAGTTCTCAAAGAGGTCTCCACAATACCTGGAATAGCACAAAATGTATTTCAGTTTTTCCATTAATTATAATTTTAAATTTCATTATAGATTCCCAAGAGGTGCTCATTTGGAACCTGTGCAGTCTTATCTGCACATGACGCAAGGCAATCCATGGCAGTACAATAATAATATTTCATAATAGGAAAAGTAATTCCTTCAGCAGAGAGGTATCTAGCAATTAATTTCCAATATGCACTTAAATAATAAAAAAGATAGGTCACAAATATTTTAGACATTTTTCTTAAAACTGCACTTTGAAAACTGTCTTCTGCCTTGAACAACTTTTACATGCAAATGAAACACAAACTTTTGTTTCTCATTTCTGTTATGAGATTACAGTGGTACCTCTGGTTACAAACTTAATTCCTGAGGTCCGTTCTTAACCTGAAACCATTCTTAACCTGAGGTACCACTTTAGCTAATGGGGCCTCCCACTGCCAGTGCGTTGCCGGCGCACGATTTCTGTTCTCATCCTGGGGCAAAGTTCTTAACCTGAAGTACTACTTCCGGGTTAGTGGAGTCTGTAACCTGAAGTGTTTGTAACCCGAGGTACCACTGTATAGTGTTTGAGGAGCTGACCATAGTTATTTATTTATTTGTATTTTATTTTAAATATTTTAGCCACTTTTCAGATCAACTATCCATCCAAAGCAAAACAAAAGATAAAACATAACATAACACAACTCTTGACATAAAAAATATAGAAAACATAACTGTGCAAGGGCCATAGCTCAGTGGTGGACCATGGGCTACGCATATAGAAAGTCGCAAGTTCAATTCCTGGAATTTCCAGGTTAGACTGGAAGTGACTCCCTCCTGAAACCCTGGAACTCCACTGCTGGTCAGCAGAGATGATACTGGTGGGGGTGCACTGCCCAGAAGCACCCGGTTCATAGAGTTGGGGCATTACTGGACCTGTTGCTGCTTATATGTACAGTACAGACAACAGTAGCCAGAAATGCTTTTTACCAACTCTGGTTCACAAACGCCACCATTTCCTAGAGAAGGCTGACTTGACCATGGTAGTTTGTGTCCAAATCACTTATGTTATGCTAGTTTATTTTCACTAACTTTCACTTTGTATCTGGACTCAATTCAAGGTGTTAGCTTTTATCATTAAGACACTAAATTTAATTTGCTCCATACAGTATTTTAATGCAAACTTGCCCAATTTGCACTTTCTGAAATATGCAAACTGAAATACTGCTTAAAAGCAATGCAGTTCCCCAACCAAATAAGAGTATATAAAAATACACATATTAGGTGAAAGTATACATGATAGTGAATATATTAATGAAAACAACATACAGAAATGCAGTATTGTAGGGGAATTTGCTTGGAGGGGGAAAGTGTTTTAAGAGAAATGCACACTAAAAGACTGGCAAAATTTCATGAGGACATCTTTAACCCCCACAAACCAGAAACCAATACAAAAATGCAGCAAACTGAGAACTGGAAAATTGCGCAATTGAAAAATCATCACTGGGGAACAGCATATCTCAGGAATCATTTCCTTCCCATATGATCCTGGTCAAGGATTTTGCTCACCTTCTGAGCCCAATCTTGCTGTCGTTACACTCAAGAAAATCTGGTTTGCAGCAATGAGAGATTATGGTGCAAACCTCCCGTTCCTGCTTTGGCTAAACTCATTTTGTTTTGGCCTCACCCGCTACCCAAAAGATTAGCCACCAGGGAATGCAGTTCTTAGGCTGAAAAGGGTTCCCCACTCATGGTTCCAGGCAAACAGACAGCTCCACCTGCTGTCTTTTTGCGCACAGAAGATGCTACCCCACTGAACTAAATGGGAAGCCCTTGTAGACAAGAGTGCTCTAAGACAGCAATCTATGAATGGTCTGGGCTACTAATGTCTTCCCATTTGTTTAATTTCAAGCTTGCCTTGTTGCTGTTGTTTTTTAAACCAATCCAGTAATAAATCAAAACTAAAGGGAATGAAATTTAAACTATCAAGCTATCCCAAGCCAATGGCATTCCCAAAATAAAAGGAAAAGGGAAAAAGCCAAAAAAAGAAACCATTGCTACTGTTGCTTACCCAGTGCACTTTGCTTCTACTGTTGCTTTGAGCATTTCTGCAATGTGGGTCAAGTGTTGATGCAAACCAGTAGCTGGCAAGTCTAAAAGATAAATATTAGTAGGAGCCATTTGAAGTGAAAACCAAAATATGCACTATTTTGTATTACAGAAAATTCTTAATAAACTAGAGGATTTGCAATACAGTACATCAATCTCAAAAATAAACACAGCCGGTAATATGGAAAGCACTTCATAGCTGATCTTACCTGAGGGATGTTTAAGGAAAGCCATCACAAGTGAATGAGGATTATTAGGAAAGTAGGCCTTCAGTGGAAACTTAAGCTAAAAGAAAGTCAATACAAGTATCACTTATGGACTAGTTCTTAAAACTTGCCCCATCAGAAAATATGCAAATACAGCACAAAACATGCTATTCATATTGAAGGAAAGGAACCCTACAGATTGCATTCTTACAATGCCACAAACTTCACAACTTTGCTCAAAGTCCTCCTAGCCAACTTTTTAAAAATCCTTTCCATGTCAACATAGAACTGGTGAGTTGTAAGGGGTGATCTAGAGGGGGAAAAACCATGATCCCAAGCCGAGAGTTGTATTTGATCCAGGGATCATTATTTGTTTTGCAATCAGTAACCCAAAAGCAAACCTTCCCTGGTTTGTCTTGGTTTCCTTCCCAGAGTGAGCTGGGAGGAATGGAAAGAAATGCACAGTAAACTATGGTTTATGGCTAACCAAGATGTGTGAATGCAGCACACATGTAGATAGTCTAGCTTTGCAGCATTTTTTGTGAGAGTGAGTTTTTCTGTAATATTACTATCTGGACTTCCTGAACATATCTGCCCACAACAATTGCATATGGTTACAAGACTAACATGTGGTACCCACAAGGCTGAATGAACAAAACAACATTTTGTTTCCAGCAGAAGTTGTCCATATATTTTATATCCATATACACAAAGATTTGGAGAAATTCTGACTGTTTTGCAGTCATCCTCTACATCAAAGATTTGTGCAGAACTCAAGACATGTACGGTTAAAGAGCTGTAAGCACTCCTGCCTGCATGCCAAACCAACACCCAAGTATTTCTCTTCTCTAATAAACAGTGAAAATGAAATCTCATGCAAGCAACATATAGAAGATCTAGTTAATGTTTTAAAAAGAGCTCAACAACAAAGCACACAAACAACCTCCACAGCATAGTTGGCTCCTAGCTATTTGAAGGGTGTGTGGGATCTTGGATTACGTTCTCCACTCAGTCGCCCCCGCCACCCTGAGGCTGCAAAATGTGCTGCTGCCATAGAAATAAAGCTGCATAAAATTAATGGGAGTGGCATCTGTACATATTAACTGAGACAGCTGCAATTTCAACTCTAATTTATACCTTTTGAAACTAAAAGAGAGATTTAATCACAATGCTAATTAGTCAATTATTGTACTAGTTCCAGTAAGACCCATCTTTTCACTAACTAACAGTTCCCCCAACAAAATTTAAAAGTCACAATGCAGTATTTGGTTCTCTGAAAAGTTTTATGGGAGTAAAACCTGAAAAGATTATGTGGCCCCAAACTAAAGCATCAGACTACGAAGCATGGATACTTTGATTGCCTAAAGGAAAATGAAGTAATCCCAATGGTACTACAGGTACTAAACTATAGGGAAGAATCAGACGTTACATGAGGGTGTTAAGAAGTAGGGTCAAGTTGTTACAGTTTTTCTAGGTGTGAATCTAGAATAAATATTTATTCATTAATATTTGCTGAGAGAGAATGTGTTTGTGAGAAAAGAGAGATCATTAACTAGTAGACATCCCTATGAGGTGAAAAGGCACCATAGATTCATGACGTAGTACAGAAATAAAAAGCATTGTTTTGTCAAATGGACAGTTTATTATAACATGTACAAGTATATAATCTACAATTGTGAACTAATGCTGTGAAAATAAATTGTGGATTCATCCTTCTCCCCCTAAAAAACCCTCTAAAATTTGATTCCATTTAAGACACCTCAGATTTATCTTGGCATTTATTTACTACAGCAGCAAGGCATTATTTTGCTCATTTTATTCTTTTAGCACTTTGCAACCTAAAATTGTTCTTTTTATACTACATTTTGAAGCATCTCATTTAAAAAATAATAATGAAAAATGGAATTCAACTAACCTGCTTATTATTCTTGTGGTATGCTTGAACAAAGCACTGTGTAAATACCTGCATTACGGTCATTACTTCTGGTGCTCCATCAGTTTCCAGCAGTGCATTCCTGAGCAGCAAAAAGTTTAAGTATGACAGGTCAGATTATGAGTGTGCCAATCATGCAACCATTAATTGAGAGAAGGTAAAAACAAATGAGAGCATTCTTCCCATGCCTTGGGCTGTGATCTTAAACCTATCTAGCTATTATGCAACCTGGGAAATAAAAACACTAACTTCACTTTGCTTCTTCTTCTTCTTCTTTTTAAATTAACATACAAATACCATTCTGCAATATAATTGCTGTTATTACAAATCCAATGTCAAGCTACAATTGTTTTACCTTGTTTTGGCAACTCAAACCCTCCAGCTACAACTGTAAACACAGTATCTAGTTGCTCAGTTTCTTACATATTAAATCTCATACTAGAGTTTGCTCTGGAAGCAGGGACATGAAAGGAAGAAATGGCACAGCTATTGTTTGGTGGCATCAAACCTCTGAGCTCATCCCCTGGCTCTGGTTAAACATGTTTCCATCTTCCCTAATCCTCATTCTCCCAACTCTTCGGCATATCTGTTTTTGCTGTCATATTAATGCTGTTGATGCGCAATAGGCATTTTGTATGTGGATTATGATTTATTTGTGTGCACTAGGACATTTCCGCTCTCATTCCCCCATCTTGATTTGTAAGTGGTTCATTCTTTTCAAGTTTACTTGGAGAAAGCTTGGGCAACCTTCCAACATTCATCATAAGCTTTGAAAGAACTCATCTGATGTCTCCGTTACCTCTCCTCACCTGGTCTCCAAAGGTGAGAGCTCACCCTTAGTTCCCATGCTTCCAGTCTGCAGTGCCTGCATGCTCATTGCCAAGGAGAACTCTGGACACTGGTTTTGTTTTTAAAAATCTTCCTTCTAAGGAATTAGGAATTTCCCCAAATTCCTATCAACAATGGAGGTTCTGAGCATCTCATAAGTTCTAACTGCAGATAAAAACAACAGGAACTTAGGACAAGTTCTCCTGCTGCCAGTCTTTGCTGCTACAGGTTTCCTTCCCCATTCTGCAGCTTAGTGTCCAGAAAGTAGGGAAAGGAGAGGAATGGGCAGCAGAAAACTCTATAACTGATGGAGGGTTACACCACAAGCAAATCCAAAACAGGGAGGGGTAAATGGTCTTGCTGGAAATGGCTCAGTGATTTCTGAATTGTTTTTTTTTAAAATAAATTTTTATTAATTTTCCATAAGTAAAAAAGAAAACAAAGCAAAAACATAAATAAACACAAAAACGACTTCCCCATACCACCCCTTTTCTGCATTCTTGTTTCAAGATTTTCCAGCAACCCTTTCGTATTAAACTTATTTCTATTTCGTAAATTTAACTTCCATAAAATGATAAAACAACTGTAGTTCTTTATCTCTTATTACCCTGATCCTCTAATTTTCCAAATTACAACAGTTTTTAAGATAAACTTTGAATTTGTTCCAGTCTTCATCCACCGCCTCTTTCCCCCGGTCTCGGATTCTGCCAGTCATCTCTGCCAGTCCCATATAATCAATCACCTTCGTCTGCCATTCTTCCAACGTGGGTAGATCTTGTGTCTTCCAATACTTTGCTAGAAGGATTCTTGCTGCTGTTGTAGCATACATAAAAAATGTCCTATCCTTCTTTGGCACCATTTGGCCCACCATACCCAGGAGAAAGGCTTCTGGCTTTTTATTAAAGGTTCTCTTCAGAACTTTTTTAATTTCATTATAGATCATTTCCCAGAAAGCCTTAATCTTCGGGCAGGTCCACCAAAGGTGATAGAAGGTTCCCTCCGTTTCATTACACTTCCAACACTTGTTATTGGGCAGATGATAAATCTTTGCTAACTTAGCCGGAGTCATGTACCACCTGTAGATCATTTTCATAATGTTTTCTCTTAAGGCATTACATGCCGTAAATTTAACACCAGTGGTCCATAACTGCTCCCAGTCAGCAAGCTCAATGTCATGCCCTATATCCTGTGCCCATTTAATCATACTAGATTTCACCATTTCATCTTGAGTATTCCATTTCAACAGCAAGTTGTACATTCTTGACAAGTTTTTAGTATTGGGTTCTAACAGTTCTGTTTCTAGTTTTGACTTCTCCACTTGGAAGCCTTTCTTTCTGTCCTGTTTAAATACTTCATTTATCTGTCGATAATGTAGCCAATCTCTCACCTTAAACTTCAGATTCTCGAAACTCTGCAATTTTACTTTTTCACCATCTTGTTCTATCATTTCAAAATATTTAGGCCAATTAGAACCCATATTCAGTTTTTTCACCTCATTTGCCTCCATTGGTGACAGCCACCTAGGGGTTTTGCTTTCAAACAAATCTTTATACCTTATCCAGACATTATACAGAGCTTTCCTCACCATATGGTTCTTAAAGCCTTTGTGTACTTTTACCTTGTCATACCATATATATGCATGCCAACCAAATCTGTTATCAAACCCTTCAAGATCCAAAATGTCTGTATTCTCGAGGAGCAGCCAGTCTTTCAACCAGCAAAACGCTGCTGATTCATAGTAAAGTCTTAAGTCCGGCAGGGCAAAACCTCCTCTATCTTTTGCGTCTGTTAATGTCTTAAATTTTATTCTTGGCTTTTTGCCCTGCCAAACAAATTTCGATATGTCTTTCTGCCACCTCTTGAAACAGTCCATCTTGTCTATTATTTGTAATGTCTGAAACAGGAATAACATTCTAGGCAATACATTCATTTTGATAACAGCAATTCTGCCTAACAAGGAAAGTTTCAGCCTTGACCATATGTCTAAATCTTTCTTGACTTCTGTCCAACATTTATCATAATTGTCCTTAAATAAGTTCACATTTTTCGCTGTCAAGTTCACCCCCAAGTACTTCACTTTTTTTGCTATCTCCAAACCTGTTTCATTCTGAAATGTCTCTTTTTCCTCATTTGTTAGGTTTTTCTCCAGCACTTTAGTTTTTTGTTTATTCAGTTTAAATCCTGCAACTTGACCAAATATCTCAATCAGTTCTAAAACTCTTTTTGTGCTAGTGTTTGGCTGCTGTAAAGTCAAAACTAGGTCATCTGCAAATGCCCTCAGTTTATACTCTTTCACTCCGACCTGAATTCCTTTGACCAACTGGTCCTTTCTAATCATATTTAACAAAACCTCCAGGACCAGTATGAAAAGTAGAGGGGAGATAGGGCATCCCTGTCGTGTTCCTTTCTCTATAGCTATCTCTTCCGTTACCACATTATTCACAATTAGCTTTGCCTTCTGCTCAGAGTATATTGCACCTATACCATTTTCAAAACCTTGGCCTACCCCCATCCCTTGGAGATTCTTTTTCATAAAACTCCAGCAAATATTGTCAAAGGCTTTCTCCGCGTCCACAAAGATCAAAACTGCTTTTCTATTAATGTTCATTTCCAGCAGTTCCACAATGTCTATTATGTTCCTCACATTATCAGACATATGTCTTCCCGGGAGAAAGCCAGCTTGGTCCTTATGAATCTCACCTATCAATACTTTCTTCAGTCTTTTTGCTAAAATGTCTGCAAATATTTTGTAATCCACATTTAGTAATGATATCGGGCGGTAGTTCTTAACCTGATTCTTTTCAGTCTCAGTTTTTGGTATAAGTGAAATAAAAGCCTCTTTCCACGTTTCAGGTGCCTTTTTCCCCTCCAATATTTCATTGCAGACTTCTTTCAATGGTTGCACTAAACATTCTTTCAAAACTTTATAATATCTAGCCGTCAAACCATCTGGTCCTGGAGACTTTCCCAATTGCGCTTTTTGAATGGCCTCCTCTATTTCTTGCTCTGTTATTTTCTCATTCAAAGTCAGCTTGCTCTGTTCTGAAATTTTAGGTAGTCCATGATTTTTAAGAAATTCATCTATTTCTTGTTCATTCACTGGCCCTTGTGTGTATAATTTCCTAAAAAAGCTTTGAAAACAATTACTTATCTCATTTGGCTTGTGAATATTCTTTCCCTCTATCTCCAAACAGGTGACTGTATTCAATTTTTGCCTCTTTTTCAATTGCCATGCAAGAAGCTTCCCACATTTGTCTGCTGACTCGAAAGTCCTTTGTCTCATTTGTTTAATTTTCCATTCTATCTCTTGATTTGTCAGTTCCATGTATTGCGTCTGGTAATACTTTATTTCTCTCAAAATTTCTTGAGACTTTGGGTTAGACCTCAATTTCTTTTCTCCTTCCTTCATTTTTTCTAATATTCTTTCTTTCCTTTCATTTTGCTTTTTCCTTTTAATTGAATTCTGTTGTATCAGGAAGCCTCGCATCACGGCTTTGCTCGCGTCCCAGATTGTTCTTTTTTCAACTTCTGTTCTCGAGTTTATCTCAAAGTAATCTTTTAATGTCTTTAGGGCCTTTTTACAAAATTGTTCGTCTCTAAATAGGGAGTCATTCATTCTCCATCTGAAGGATCCAGTTGTTGTCATTTTCATTTCCATCTTTACTGCATTATGGTCGGAGCAGGTTTTTGGGCAGATTTCTACTTTCTTTATCTTTGTAGCCATCACACTAGATACCCAGATTTGGTCGATTCTTGTCCATGTCATTTTAGATTCCGAGAAAAAGGTTCCCTCTCTCTCGAGAGGGTTCCTTGTTCTCCAGATGTCAATCAAATCCATGTTTTCCGTCATCTCAAAGAAAGTCTTTGGTAGTCTTCCTTCTTTAGAAATTGTCTGTCTTTGTGCCTTATCCATATTTGTGGAGACCACTCCGTTCATGTCCCCCATCAGTATTATTTTGCAGTCGAGGTAGTCCAATAAGGTTTCATGCAACTTCTTGAAAAATTCGGCCTTCCCATCATTGGGTGCATATATTCCAATTATCAAATATTTTTCTCCCTGAATCTGTACTTCGATTGCCAAATATCTTCCTTCTTCATCCTTGAATTTCATTTTTGGGTCCAATTTTTCTTTTGCATAAATCACTACTCCTCTCTTTTTTACTTTGTCAGAAGATATAAATTCTTGTCCTAATCTTTTGTTCACCAACAGTTTCCTGTGTGCTCTGGTTATATGGGTTTCCTGTAGACATATCAGATCCAGTTGTTCCCTTTTCAAAATGTGAAAAACTTGTCGTTTTTTTCTGGGATGGTTCAAACCGTTGCAGTTCCAACTAAGAAGTTGCAGAGACATTTTGTTTATTAGATGTTTGACCCTCCGACTGCTCCAAGCTTTTCTTCCTCTTCAGTTGGCGGTTGTGGTAATCCAAATGATAGATTTGCAATGTCTGTTAGCCCTCCTCCTTCTGGTGTTGATTCTTGTCCTCCTCCTGCCAGGCCCACCGTACCTTTCTGTAGGTCCTCTAGGTTTCTTTCCAAGAAGTTTTCTTTTTCCTGTACTGTTCTTATTCTTCTTTTCTTCCCTTTGTAGTTAAAGGACAACCCCTGTGGAAATTCCCACCTGAAAGGTATAAAGTTCTTCCTCAGCAAATTGGCCAAGTCTCTATAGAAGGCCCTCACTTCCAAGATGTATTTAGGGATGTCCTTAAAGATTTGGACTTGAATGTTTCCAATTACCAAAGCTTTTTGATAATGAAGGTTCAGTATCTTGTCTCTTCCCTCTTTGGTTCTGAAGGTGATCAGACAATCCCTTGGCTTCTCACTTTGCTTTCTACCAAGTCTGAAAGCAGTTGTTATTTCTACTTCATCCTCCTCCAGATCTCCTTGCCAATTTTCCAAAATTGCCTCTGTGAGAAATTCCGTCAGGTTGTCCTTTTCATTCTCTGGAACCTGTCTTAATTTCAGATTCCGTTCTTTCCGTTGTAGCTCCAGTAAGGAGAGGGCCGCTTCATGCTCATTCACCTTTTTCTCTATCGGTGCAAGTTTTTCCTGTGTCTCCCCGGCAATAGATCTTGCACTTTCTGCAATTTTCCTAGTTTCTGTAGATTCCTGAATCAGTCTATTTATAGATTCTGTATTAGTCGCCACTGACGTAGTGTTCAAGTCCAATCTTGCTGTGAGTTCTGTCAGTTTCTTTGTATTTTCTGTGGATTGCTTTGTTAAGGCCTCTAGGGATTGATTTATTTTAAGCAGTGCCTGTGTCATAGATTCCATTGATGCTGCTGTCACACTTTCCGGTGCAGGCACTGTATTGCCAGAGATTGAGCCTCTTTTCTTTTGTGTCACTTTAGCTTTAGATCTGGTTCTTATCTCCTCTGCCGTGCCACTCATATCCCAAGGCCGTTCTCACAGGAAAAACTTGCAATGGAAAATCCCACTGTCAGCCAGTTACTTTACAGTTTTTTCCCTCTTAGTCCTCCAGAGGGAGCAATTAATAGTGTCCAAGTTAGAGGAAACAAAGAAACAGAAAGCCGGATGTAAAGAGTCAAAAGTCCGCCATTAAAGTTATTTAAAACTTTTTCTCCAGGTAGATTTAGCTAATCAAATATCTGTAACAAAGTCCCGTTCAAGTCTTAAAACTCGTTCACCATTTAAGGTATAGTCTATATCCACTTCATACCTATTTTAAAGAACAATTTTCCCGGTGTTAACTCCTGGCAGATCGTCCCCAGGGGATCAGGGCAGTGGAAAACTTTGTTTCCCTTGAATTAAGAGTATCTTCACAAGACTGTCTTTTTTTTCCCCCCTTCTCCTCCGATCAGGGGGGAAGAGATACTTTTGACAGCTCAGGGTTGACAGTTCGCAACTAAGTTTCTTGTAACTGCAGCGGGGTCTTTCGTTGCTTTAAATTTCTGCAGTCCGGGGGGGGCAGACTTCCTTATTTTATTCCCTCCCGTTTTCAGCCAGATTTTCAAATTTTAAAGGGTCCCGATTCTTTTTCTGTTCTTACTCACGGGAATTCAGTCCAAATTTTCTTTTCAGGAAGAAATCGGCGCTCTCCGCTTATGGCGACGCGGCTTCACTCCGCAGGCTGGGTAGCGACTCTCAGCACCGCGCTCACTCCCGATGCCGCTCCGGAGCCTTTAAAAAGGCTCTTTCACAGTACCGGGGGGCGCAAAGGTGCCCACCGAGTCTCCTTGCTCTCAGGCTTCAGCGCCTGAGATTTTAAGGGTCCCCCGCTCGCCGTAGCGGGTAAGACCCGAACTTGCGGAGCAGTCCTTCTCCGGAGCTCGGAGGGAGGACCGCCATTAAGCGCTGGCACCGACCGGAAGGCTGATTTCTGAATTGTTGAGTGGGGGAAGAGTTCACTTTTAGCACGTCCATATTTAGCAAGGGATTTGCTCCTAAAGCTCCCTCTCAAGTTCAGAACTCAAAGGCAGTCTAATTCTTGATTTGATATCCCTTGAAACTATCTGAAATGAAAATAATTGTAAAAGAAAACCACTTCCCTCAAGATCATTCAAATTTCTTTTCCTGAATATTCCTTGCCACTTTTGAATTCTACAACTTATTTAGTTTTCATGGGTAGATAAATTTCAAAAGCCAGTATCTTTGTGGCATGTAGTGGAATCAAACAATTAAACAAAAATGGATTCCATTATACTTGGACATGAGGGTTGCTATGATAAAATGTGTATGTAAGTACCTCAAGCACAGGCTGGTTTTTCTACTATCAGTTATACAACATCTTGCATTTAATTCTTTGCCTTGAATAGCCAGCAGTGGAACTAAGCTGCGCATGTTGTTCTGTGGATCAGATTCTCAATATTAAGAAATTCTTCATAATTTTGTGAATGCTATCACAAGATGCACCATATTTAAAATATGGAAACGCTGGGACATTCTTATGCAGTTCTATATTGTTTACTGATTTGGGATGGATAGGCAAAATCCTTCCACATAAATTGTCTGTAATCTTACTTGAAAATTTCGTCTATAGTTCTGAAGACAGCCGGATGACATGCAGCTTGGTCCTGTTGCAAATAACAAAAGAACAAGTAAGGTAGTTTAGACAAAGCTTGTATCATAAACTCAACACAAAGCAACAAGACAAACAATAGCTGGTCACCAAAGCATGTAACTCGAATATAGTTCTCGATAGAGTGGAGCTGATAGTCCGAAACAATAGTAGGGCACCAGCTTGGAGAAGGCTATCTTAGTCCAATAACTTAAATGTGCTTCTTCTCTCCCATGATGCAGTGACTTCAGGGGAATGACTGAGACTAACAGTGACGTTAAGCAAGTGAGGATGGTTTGTTATAATAAAAATGGAAACAGGAAATTAATGATGAGAGCCTGGTTGTTTTCAAGCTACTGAAATTAGTAAAAAAAAATTAAAAGATGCATAACTTCTAGAGACCATGATGCAATCCACTACTTTTCCCCCCCAAAAAGAAAAGTGAATCCAGTAGGGTCACAATTTATATTACTGTTAACATGTTAAAAACCTAAACAGCGGGGGGTGGGAGGGACCCTTTCCAAGCCTGTTGTGTTAATTACCTAGTCTTTGAATTTCCAAGGACAATGGTTTACACTTTCTAACTTCATGGAACACTCGACACATTAACTTACCTGCTATGGAACCCCTGCGTGTTGCTGAGGATTCTGAGTGTTCTAGGGTGTACACTTTATTCTTGTGGGCTATCATACAGGGCTTGGCAGAATGGGGAAGAAGCATTTTTCAGCAAATTCCCCTTTCTTGCAGCCCCTCTTTCCTAACCCTTAACCAGAAATCTGCTCTGGAAGGCTAAAGCAAATTGGAAGGGGGCTTAGAAAGAGTATTAATTGACCTAAGTTGATCATGGCCATACATTTCCATGGGTCTATTCCAAGCAATGTGGCCCCATACTTGTGGGTGGCTGTTACCAAACCTTTAACAGGTGTAAAAGTTTCCCCCAAAGTACCATTGATTTTCCCAGGGTTCGTTTTTCATATCCTTTTTAGATTTGAATTTTATTTCAAAGGTCTATGTAACCAAATTCATAGGAGGCAAGTAAATATCAGAAATGATGCTGTCATGAGACTTGTTTTGGGTGTTTAACAATATGATTTAGTAAAAGTCCTGTATCAATTTGGTTATTAGCTAAAGGCTGTTTCATCTGAGATTTATCAGTGACTGTCAGAGGTTATTTTTAACTTTTACTATTATTCTCAAAGTTAAAAATTAATGAATATCAGCATTCAAAAGATACTAATATTTACAATACACAAATTCACCTTATTGATGCAAAGTCCACTTTCTTATACTTATTTTTTCGTTTCTTTTTAAAGAAAATCAGCCACAGGATAAAAAGATGGGTTAATGGCTTTCCAGACAGTTTTTATGACTAGCTGCCCCAACTTGGAGCACTGAGCAAACAGAAATTGTTCCATCCAACTTTCATGTTGGGAAAGCTCCACTCCAAGTGCTCAAAGCAAATATTCATGTAGCCAAGCCAGCTACACAGGGGAAAATATTTTGAGGAAGTATAGATCTCACAAAGGATAAAGGCGGAAATGAGAAGAGAACCGTTAGTCTAAACATCTTCTCATTTTTCCTCACATGTCACTATCATATTGAAAAGATTACATGTCACCTCATTTTCATGTTGTACTCCAGTGTTTTGCCATATAGTTACATTTAAGTTATCATATTAAATGTATGCCACCTAGTGTTCATGACTATTCACAGCTGGCTTTATCACATATTTCTAAAAAAATAATAATAAATTACAGATTGTTGAAGAACTGTCATTTCCAAATTCCTTTTGAAAGTGAATTGGGTGATATATGTTAAAGTGACAAAATGTAGGCAGGAGGTGTAGTGCCTTTCTTGCACACAGTAACTGCTACTAGACTGCTCGGTTTCACATATTTGTACAATTTGGAGGCTGGTGGTTTTCATATTATTAAGGTTAACACCACTATCTTTTTTAACCATACCATAGAATCTTATTTACTATACAGCCTTTAACACCTCCTTAACTTTAGCAATGGCCCTGCATTTTTACCTTTCTTTGCCAAGAAGAGTAGCACACGCGCGCACACACACACATTTAAACACAGTAAGGAAAAAGTTGATCCGTAACAAAATGTTACACTGTAGAGTGCTCCCATTCAGGATTCTAGCCACCCCACCCCCCAATAGTCAATTATCATTGTGTGGTCACCGAGCATCCTCAGCACTTGTGGAATGGTTTTATGGTTTCCCCCACGGGGTCCCCCCGCTAAATATTTTTTGCACTTTTTCAAATCTTGTGGCTCCCCCAAGCCTACAGATAGCTCCTTTGTGTGGGTGGATGGGCCACATATGGATCAGCACTCGGAGAACTGAGATTGGTAATAAAAGTGTACAAGTGGGGCCCTGCAATGAAATGTTGCACTGTGGGTTACTTCTGTTCAGGATCCTAACCATTCCATTCACACATCCCCTATCCCATTTTCCCTTTCTCCTTCACAAGTATGTTTCATGGCCACTGAGCATGCTCGGTTCTGACAGCTGCCTTCTTACAAAATGGGTGGTTAGTTTGACTATGCAAGTGCCAAAGTGAACTATGTAAGTTCAAATTCCTTTTCAGCTGTGAAGTTCTCAAACTAATCTACCTCATAAAGTTGCTGTGAAGCTAAAACACCAGGCTTTGCTGGACACAAACAACTTAATAAGTAAGCTTGATCATGGCCACACGTAATTTTAGTTTGCAGAGTCTGCAATATCAAATGCATTTTGGAACCAGTCAAGAATTCTGTGTAAGATTAACTAATAGCTTGGTTTAGCTAGCAATAAATTGATGTCACGTGGACTTGCACTGCACTGCAGTATCACCTGCATTGATTTTTGGTATTCTACAACTTTCTGTTGAAGTTAAGCTTAGCTGACGTTTAGTCTCAAACACTGATTGTGTTCTATTTGAAATGTTACAGCGAATGTTTACATGCTCAAAGGGTTCTTAATAGAAGACAGAAAATCTCTTAAGCAATATACAGTGTTAGTGGAATCTAAATAAAAAGCTGTCAACTGAAAGAATCTGACAAAATCTGCACAAAGTGAAATGTGACTTTATTTAAACTAGCCTAAGAGCATCAGAAACTGGCAGGTGCTTTTCCTTGTCAGTGCCCCTAGCTCTATCTGAACTCCATCTTTTTACATGGGTAGGCAGGAAAGGGCAGAAAATAAAGCCTTGTGCTACACCAGGTTGTAGTGCATATTTAGCCAGTGAGCTATAAAGGCTTTTGTTCTCCTCTTCCCTAGTACCCATTGTGAAGGCACACTCATACTGCTATCAGCTCAACTCTGCACCAAACACTGAGGTCACAGGAAGGGAGAAGGACCAAGTGCTCCTCTTACTGATGGTGGCACCTGTTTCAGAACTCTGAGGCAGAGAGATCTCTTCCCACATCTTTCAGTCCTGTAACGAAGCCACCACTGTCACAGCAGCTGCCACCAACTTAGTTTGATGCAGACAGGATACGGGACAAGTGTGTTTACCAGTTTCTATAACAATAGTAGCAGCTTCAACTAAAGATTCCAAGATGAGAGACCAGGGAGAGATCCCTACCCCGAACTGGTTACTTTACATTAACTTTTGTTGAAATAGCTGCTACCATCAGAAAGCCGGGACGTTTTGTCCACTTCTCTAGCAACACAGCAAAACAGCAAAAATCTCATATTTGTCAACTCCCAAAATCCACAAGATTGGCCATTTATGAATATTGTTTTCCTCACAGTTGTGGAGCAATAAATTATCTTGGGGGCAGATGAACACCTTGGAATCAGTTTCAGATCTCTTGACACAAAAGAGGCAAAGAAATCAAGAATGAAAAACAAAATCACATCAAATCGAAAGCTGGGAACAGACTGTGTTTCAAAAGCAGTTCATCAGCTGAAATTAACTGGTGGATTGAGCTAAAAGTCCATCCCAGCAGATATATACCCATGTGTGGGCCACGGTCTCCAGTTTCTCATGCTATTATGCAAACAATTTTCATGCTGTTGCAAGTTGCACAAGCATCGCCTGCTGGTGTTACTGAACAGAGTTTGCCACAGAAGACCAGTGAGTCCAACAGAATGCTTTTGCATTCATGAGAAAATCACTTTGGTGATACCTGTGGCTGGGCATCAGTGCAAAAAGACTGCAACATTCATACAACTAATTTCTGACAATACCTGTAATTGTTTCCCTTCCCCATGCAGTTCACACAAGATATTTGCCTGATTATTTTGGTATGTTTTATGCAGACACCTTTAACCATCTGGAAAAAGAACTAGTGTTACCTACTCCTGAAAAGCAAAACAGTATTTATAGAGGACATTTCACTATGTGCAACCTGTATAACACTTATCTTTTGTTTTTATACTTCCTAGTAACTATAGAATTTCCATTACCAATTTCATTTTTTCCCAAGGGATGGAAACACAAGTAACAGCACACCACATAAACTAGAAGTTACTAGACCATCACACTTTAATTACATTTGGAGCCCTAATATAACAGTGTTGAGTATCATATTTCTTCCATAATAAAGCACAGCAGTCTTCCACTACCAAGACTAAACTTTAAAAGTTGCTGCTCTGTATACTGCTCAATGTTGTATTCTACAAGATGCGGATATATAACATTGTCCTACATCATTCAGGCAAAGCCCTATTGACAACACAATATTATTGCATGGTTGCGTTAGAAATATTATCAATTACTGTCCTGGTTGCTTATTTAAAATAATTGTAACTTAAAATAACAAGCTTATCTCTGGGATTATTTATTTGGTTCTTAAAGGACTATGGTTCTCTGAATATCCAATGGCAAGCCAAAATTATGCCTATAGACTGGAACTGTTCAGACTTCCTTTTCACTTGAAGCAGTTTCATGGCAGGCTTATAATGTGAAACCAAGGACAAAAGCACTTGGAATTGCAAAAAAACTCTTGCCTGGTTATGAAACTGAAGTAGTTCTTCCTACTAGATGGGTGGGAAGGTAACCTGGAGGGGAGGCATATAACTGCTGAGAAACAAAAAGAATCCTTGCTGCCAAACCGCTCTCTCTTCCTACCCATCTTTAACTGGCTGCTCTGGGTGATAGGGGCCCATCCCTCAGCACCAAACAACCCTAATTACAGCCCAATTAGAGGCTTTTTTTGACATATGCATTCACAATCAGTTTTAGCCAACAATAATATTGTGTTGTTAAAATGTATAACAGGAAGTCAACTCATCAATAGGACTCCATGAACTGAAAACAGTTTAGCCCTGAAAATCTTTCAATAAAAACAATTTTAAAATTCTTACTAATAATACTGCACTCTCAGATTAAATCCTTAAAGCCATGGATCATTATGCTATTTACTCTTCTACTTATTGCTAGGACTATATGGCCAGGTTGGCACATAACGCTAAACCATGGTTAATGTAAACCAAGGTTTAGAAACTACCACCAAAGTATGGTTTATGAGTGTGTTTTATTCACAGTCAAACCATGAAGCCGCATTCAGATGAACAAATAAACCATGACTTAGTATTGCATATGCACAAAGCCTACAAGTACCACTTGGACTGCTTGCTCCTGAATATACTTATATTGTGTATTTTAGAAATATTTAAAGGACCTTTGGTACAACAGGAGCAGCAAAATCTTAATAGTTTTCTAACGCCAGTACATCCCACTTACCAATAAGGAAGATTTTATCAGGCATGCCATCTCTTCCAGTGAACTTGGCTGAGTTGAGATTAGAATTTCAAGATTCTGCAGCACTGCTTTCTCCAGACCAGGCAGATGGCGAAGCCACAACTGCAGCACAGCAGATTCAGGCAAGAAAATCTTTTTTCTGTATTGGAAAAATAAATAAAATGTTCATCTCAGCCTACTATGAAACAGATGTCTTGTGACTGGCAATGCCCACCTCAGTAGCCATGCTGTGCCATAACAACGTAACAACCCTGCTTCATCAGCCAAGGCCATATCTGGTCCAGCATTCTGGCTACAGTGGCTTACCAGGAAACCCACAAACAGGACATGAGGGAAATAAAGCCATTGTTCATTCCCCCCCAAAATTGTAATAGTGGTGGCCAAAAACAGTCTCAAATTTCCAAATGGGCCCAGGAGGTTGGGAACCCCTGCTCTAAGTTTCCAGTGTCTGGTGGTGAATGAGATTTTCTCCTCCTCCATTTTAATCTTAGAGTCCACATTCCTGGCCACAAAACTGCCCTCCTTCCTTTAAAAAGAACATAAAATGCAAGTCCAGAATTTCCTTTTTCATTGCTCTTTCATAATTGTTTCCAGTTGCTGTGCTAACTGAAGCAAGCTGGAATTAGAATAATTACAGAACAGTAAGAATAATAATTAGCAACCTTTTCTTCATTTTATGAACAATTTCCAACTTACTGCGTGCACACTATGCCCATGACCAGAAACATTGCTCTGTTCTAATGATGGGTGCTAATGTGAACTTTTTCTATGATTTATTTCTGTAGATCATGGCATTGCTGAAGTTGGCATAGTTTAATATAAAAACATACCCCTGAATTTTAAACTATTTTAACCCTTGTACTGGTCCATATCTTAAATATGACCCGGAAGGCATAAGTAAATATTCCGATCTCTGAATACCTAAAATAAAGATCAGCATATGAATCCAGTGTTACCAGCAAAGTTTAACTATCACCTCTTATAGGAAAAAATGGAGGGAGTTTTGCACAGAAAATGGAACCTTCTGTGAAAAATAAAACCCCCCTTTTCACTCTACACTCTCAAGGACCAGCCTCACACTTCACTGGATCATGGACCAAGAAAGGGAAGAGAGCGACACTGTAGGCTTGTACGTATAGTACATTGAAGGGGAGAACCTAACTCTCAAACAAAACCATTGATTTAGGTTCTGCTTACTTCAGGACAGATATACCCCTTCTCCACCCTTTCTCACATCACTTTATTGTGGGTACTGTGACAAACAATCACACTCACTCTCCAGGCTTTTGGAGTTAGAACATCTTTTTACTCTCAAGATCAAGGTGGTATGCTGCCCACTTATATTGTAACTTTGCTGTCTAAAAGCAGCAGCCATATACGGTTATTCTTATTTCAAGGAATAATCCAATCTTTATGTATTCCTCAGATGTGTGAACTTTTTGTGGGCACAAGGATGGGGAACATAGTCATAGTGGACACACATTTAATCTAGCAGTTTAGGTTCTTAAACCTCTTGAGAGTGTGTGTAGGAATACATATGGGTTCTGCTGTACACCTTGTAACATTGCTTAGTTAAACTTGGATGTAATTAGGGTGGGAAATGAGGGTGTGATGGCTTGTTACTTTTCATTATATTATCTCTAGTTATAAGATCTCACCTTTAAGTTATTTCAGACAGGACCCTTCAGTGCATATTGAAGGTGCATGCTTTTCTTATTCCTTTAATCTCTGCTGACACCATTTAATTCTATATATTACCTTCTTTACCAATGATCACACAGTACCTAAGTTTAAGCTAAGGAACTAATAGATCAGGAGAGTTAAATATGATTTATTAATATTTGTAATAGCAGATATTAGGATTATTAGCATGCTGCATGATAAATGATACTTTGGTTGCTATCTCCCTTGCATTAGTTCTCTTCCGTATTCTAAACCAATAGCCAGTTGCCCTTATCTTCTTCCCTCACAGGCTTTTTTCAGATGACTTAACCTAAATTCTTCCTTCTGGTCAGTGGCTCACTGCTTCTTGTGGACAACTGTGTACAGGTAACAATCTGACTTTCACACTTCCAGGAAATGTTGCTGCCGTCTCCCACTACCTGCAGACCTTCTCAGTTTCAGATCAATTTCAGCCCATGGTCCCATACCGAAGGTTGTGATATATTCTATGTTGGCTTCATCATGAAGTTGTTTGACTTATTCAAACATTACATAGACATAGACTGCAGTTTGAGGGGTACATCCAGTTTTGATAGAACATACTTTTCTTGTGTGGTGTACTGCTTGCCTCTCTCATGGTGCCCTTTGGTGCATAAAATGCCAAGAGGCATACATTCTTCCCAAAACAAAGCAACACTTCTTCTTGTTTGGGGTGTGGTCTGGCCCCTAATGCCATCATTAATGCATACACTGCTGTTTTGAGATAGATGTGCGTTGAATCGGGCCTTCCTTGTGGCAGGGCAGGTGCTCCTAATAAAGTGAGCTTGCCTTTCCCTGTGGATCAGCCAAGCCCCCAAATAAATGTGATGCTATGTGACAAAACAGAGTATCTTTAAAACTTACTATGAAGTAGTCAACTTTAATTTTTTTTAATCAATTGGCTTGATCACTACACAAAATCATAACTTTGGTTGGCCACAATGACAATATAGAGCCTGAGCCCCAAAATGCAAAACAACTCCTTTGTACTCAGTGTTGCCTGCTCTGTCAGATCCTTCATTTCGTAGAAGGCAAGCCACCCACCATTTCACAGAAGGAAACTTCTCTCTCTGCCAGCCAACACACCACCCCCTCCCAATGAAATAGCTTTCTTCCTCTTGCAGTTCACATCTACTTGGACGCTACCCACAGAGAGAACTGTTCTCTTTTCCAAGTGTGCTGACCAGTTAGAACCGTGGTGGACTTAAACAGAAAGCTTGGACACTGCAGGAAGAATGAAATGAAACTTTATACTTTGTAATCTGGTGATGAAGGGATTAGAGCGTCTGGCAGGTGCCCTGGTAGGTCTCTGTGGGTGCACCCAGGAGCCACATTCAGAATCCCAGGCTTAAGAGTGCTTCTGTATCATCAGCATCAAAAATATAAAACCCACTGGTGCAAAAGGCAGCCCAACAATGAAAACATCAGTCAGGAACCAGAAGACTCTCCTTTCCTTTCAACAGGCCCGTGCAGAGCTTGTCTGAAGCCTGAACAGGAACCTTGTTAGAATACAAGTTATAAACTCAAACAAAGAAGCAGCCAGTCCCTGGTGGAGGCCCCCAGACAGCTTAGCCCTCCAAGGCCTGGGGCAAGTGTATCTGGCTGCCCACTTTCAGGACATTCTGAGGACAAAGGAGAAGATGCTGTAAGAAAGAGAGAAACGGATCTCCCTTCAAGTAAAGGTGTGGACGGAAGCATGAAATGCAACAGGAGCACATAGGGTGTGATTAACTACCCCCCTTTGCTTAAGAACAGAAATTGTCAATTAGAAGAAAATGTATGAGTTTTCAAAGAAGCTAAGTAATAATTCAGGATTTCTTAGAAATAAATGTGCTAATGAATAATTTCCCTGGGGTTTTTTGGCAAGGAGAAACCATTCACTATGTTCTCTCTTGTGAGTGGACTTGCATATTTTTCTATGCCAGAGACTCCTGTACTTCCTTGCCTGAACAATAAAAAATGCATTCACCTGCCCTAAGCACCTCAGTTGAAAGCTGGGTGGCAGCAAGCGGAACAAATTCAAAGACTCACCTGAATTAAGTAATGTGATCACTAAGAGATGCAATCCATAAGGAGAACATGCTCTTCCTGATCCACAAAATGCAATTCATGAGCAGAAATAAATTTGTTCACCTGTATCAACCATACAAGGGACGCGGGTGGCGCTGTGGGTTAAACCACAGAGCCTAGGACTTGCCGATCAGAAGGTAGGCGGTTTGAATCCCCGCGACGGGGGGAGCTCCCGTTGCTCAGTCCCTGCTCCTGCCAACCTAGCAGTTTGAAAGCACGTCAAAGTGCAAGTAGATAAATAGGTACCGCTCCGGCGGGAAGGTAAACGGCGTTTCAGTGTGTTCTCTGGTTTGCCAGAAGCGGCTTAGTCATGTTGGCCACATGACCTGGAAGCTGTATGCTGGCTCCCTCGGCCAATAAAGCGAGATGAGCGCCGCAACCCCAGAGTCGGTCACGACTGGACCTAATGGTCAGGGGTCCCTTTACCTTTACCTATCAACCATACAGGAGACACAAAAGCCTGTCAAAGAGGGTAAGATCAAACAGCAGCCAGACATTCTGTGAGCCTATGTGCACTCCTATATGGAAGCATGTATATTAGCTACATAGAGGTGCTATGGAATGAATATATGCTGTTCCAATATGGTAGATATCAGAAGAAACAAACATGAAATTTCAACAGATGGTTAACCATAATTTCAATGAAAGGGGAACTGGGGTGTTTTCTAGGCTACTTACTGTAACACAGCCTTATTCACCGCTTCTAAAAATTCAGCATGGAGGACCTCTTGTGATCTGTCTTCATGATAGCTAAGAAGCGCTTCCAGCAGTGGCATTACATCAGGCAAAGTAATAAGAGGTATACAGAGAAGGGATATGGATTTTACTCGTGAAGACATACTGGAGAAACAAAATAAGGTTTCTTTTGTAGGATAAACGGTTATATTTTTACTTTTCTCAAACATTAAGCACAGAGAACTAGAACAAATACCTACTTGTAGCTAAAAGGAAGACATTTTTATCTAAGGACTAGCAAAATAAATAAATAAATAAATAAAATAAAATAAATAAATATTTATTTGAAATGCAGCTACATTCACAACACATTACATACCTCAACTACATTCATATGTTCAGGCAGGGTACACTCTTGCTCTGACAACAATAAACACTTGGACTTGTATAGAACAATGCTCAAGAGAACACCAGAGATATATTACCCATGACAGAGCTTTCAGCAAATTCACAGTGAAGTCCTAACTCAACAGAAATTTTGCTATTGACTGACATCAGGTGTGCAGCTGAAAGAAACATGAACTTTCTCTGGCTCTTTTCCATGATTCTGTGATTTGTGCACAATGCAATCTAATTTCCATGGTTTCCAAGTGGACAGACAAAAACTGTAAAATCAAGTCTCCAAGCAATAGGAGTATGGTTTCAGTAATGGAGATTACTGGAGAAATGCCCTGCATTATTGGAGTAGTAAAATCTACATTTAAAGAAAACAAAGCTCATACAAATCTGCAAGCGTATATACAAGATGAGCTGCTGCATGACTTAGCTGCAGTGGGGAGCAGTAAAGTGCTATACCTGGAGCAGAACATTGCCTGCATGGCTATGGCTTGATATGGAAACAGATAACATTGTTTGAGCTGTGAGGCATGTGAAATAAAATATGCAAAGACAACCGGTCTGCCGCTGCCACTTGAGGCAGAACTGGTATTAGTTGTGTGAAGTGCTTTCCATCAACTGCCGAACTATGACCCTATCTGAGATAATCTGGTTGCAGTGATCTAATCTATGCTTTGGTAACCTCAATATTAGATTACTGCAATGTGCTTTACCTTGGGTTGCCTTTGTAGACAGTTCAGTAACTAAATACTGCAGAACGTGGTCCCCCAATTGCTCACAGGCTCAAGGGAAGATTATCATGAAACACTGATTGGGGTGAGTTGCAGTTGAATCAAGTAAAATACTGAAGGATGATGCAATGTTCAATTAGCTAGTACATATATCTGTGATTTTAGCTGGGAGAAAGGCACCGTTGCAGTGCAGGTTGAGGATTCACTGTGAGCTGTTTTGCTAAGCAATATACTTACTACAAAAATAATGTTTAAGAACAGTTTGAAATAGACATATTTAATGTTTTTTTCAGTATAAGTGCTTTTCCACAAAAGAAACAGAACATTCATTCTAGTCATCTATATACTAAAATCACAGAAAGATAATACTAACCTTTGTTGTCTGTTAAGTCCATTAAACTGATTTCTGCTGAGTTCTGTCACTAATGATAAGACCACCTGTTTAATAAAGTCAATCACATGTTACAAAGAAAGACATATTTCAGTGAAGGTTGCATCAGTAGTATTTTCTCGTAGTATTATGATGTGGCAAGATTTGGTATTCTATCAATTGGAGTGTTATTAATGAAAAATTAATAAAAATTATTTACAAAAAAGTAGTATTTTCTCACTGTTATGATTTGCATCTCCAAGTGAATTAATAATCTCTGTACTTTTTGTGACTTATGGTCTTGACCATAAATCAAGAACTGAAAAGAAAGCATGGGTATTTATTTTTTATTTTAAAAACTTATACAGTGGTACCTTGGGTTAAGTCCTTAATTTGTTCCAGAGGTCCGTTCTTAACCTGAAACTGTTCTTAACCTGAAGCACCACTTTAGCTAATGGGGCCTCCTGCTGCTGCCGCGCCACCGGAGCACGATTTCTGTCCTCATCCTGAAGCAAAGTTCTTAACCCGAGGTACTATTTCTGGGTTAGCGGAGTCTGTAACCTGAAGCGTATGTAACCCGAGGTACCACTGTATCACACCTAACTCTCTTCAAAGAGACTGAAGGTGGCTAACAAGTTGTCCCTCTAGGCAGGGGAGGCTAGAGAAGTGCTAAGTACCGTACTTTCCCCCTTCTCACTGTCCTTCTACTCTCTGCAAGGTGAGGGAATGGTTATCAGACATCCTTGACAAATAAACTCTAGCTAAGAAGTTGTTAAGTGGCTGGCTTTCTCTTAATCTTGTGTGATTTCTTATATGTTCCTCCATCTCTCAAGCTTCTATGGTAACATAATGTGTCAATTGGCTTAGAGAATGGCTCTGAACTAACACACTGAATTTACAAAGGCATTTTGCATGCTTCTGAAGCACTCCATGAAGGCAAAGATGAAAAGGGGCACTTGCCAACAGTTGCCATGGCAAGCATGGTAAGCACATTTGTAGGCTCCTGATACAATCGATCATGCTTGTAGCTAAAGGTTAAATGTACTAAGTACTCACATTTTCAATTAATTTAGAATAGTAATCTGCAGACGTGAACCCAAGAGTTGAAATAAAGTTGTTGATATCAGGGTCATGATTTCTCAGCCCAGAAAATGAGAGCAAGTGGCACAATGAACCCTAGAGGAAAAGTCAACAGGAGAGAGAAATATCTGATTAAAAACTAAGCAACTTCTGTTATTGTCATAGGCAGCAGGAAAGCAAATGCATTGATTACAGGCTATATATAACTTGAATTCAATTCAACATCTGTACCTTCAACACTAAGTTATGGAACCTACAGAGGAGGCAATGAATCTGAAACATTTTATTTCAAATAGGGAGGAGGATTTCTCTTAAAAGAAGAATAATTAAAAGAAACAAATGGAAATTAGCAAGTGTCAAATCCTTTCATGAATCTTGGGAATGTATATAAAATTACGTAACGACTGCTCAGATAAAATATTTATCACACATTTGAGAGGGCACAAATATGCCAACACGATTTAAATGGCAGAATCAAATGGGCTATAAGAAACACAAAGACTGAAGGGCAGTGTATGGGGAGATTATGTGGGCTGCTATTCCAGCCCCACTGAGGAGATTCTCCTGCTGTTCTATAGTCACAGCTTTCCCCTTCTAGGGACATGGTGAAGTTCCACACACTTATCATTTGCACAGCATTATTGTGTGACATAACTCTGAGATGCAGCATCCTATGGATATGTGTAGACTATGAAGAGCCTTAAAGGTTGTGGGGAAAGGCTTTCCCTGATAGGACTTGAACAGCCACAGACTTTATGAATGATGTGTGCTGCACATCCCCTCTGGAATCTGCATCTGATAGGCCCAAACTGAGAGAGTTTGAGAGCTCCTCTTAGGGACTCAGACCTCTTGTCTCTTGCGTTGTGATTTAAATAGAAGTGCTCTGGCAACCCATTACAAGGTTCCCTCTTCCCTGCAATGTTAGATCTCGTTTCTTCAAAATTACAAGATCCTAGAATAGTTTGTAATCCTGCACAGGCTTCTTTACAGTGACTTTTTACAGGCCACACCAGAAAACATCCATGTCTGCATGTGTTCTTCAAGCCCAGTGTCTCCCACAATTCTATATGAAGTAGATCAAGGCTGTGGCATATTGCACATTCTAGATCTGACTCCATAACTAGTATAGTATCATAACTAGTATACTAACAACTTGCTCATAAATACAAGGAAGACAAAGGAGCTTGTGGTGGACTTCAGGAGACAGAAGAGCAATGTCCAGCCACTTTTGATTGATGGGGTCTGTGTGGAGAGGGTAACAACGTTCAGATTTTTGGGCATTGAATTACAAGAGGATCTGTCCTGGAGTGTCAACACAAGGGGGCTTGTGAAGAAGGCGCAGCAGAGACTGTACTTTTTGAGAATTCTAAGGAAAAACCATCTTCCGCAGAAACTGCTGCTTGCCTTCTATCACTGTGCCATTGAGAGCATGCTCACTTATGGCTTATGTGTGTGGTACGGAAGCTGTACTACCCAGGACAGGAGGGGGTTGTGCAGAGTTGTTAAGGCAGCAGAGAGCATTGTTGGCTGCCCACTCTCCACCTTAGAGCAGATTTATGCCACAAGGTGCCATAGGAAAGCACTGGACATAGTAAAAGATCCATCGCATCCTGGTCACTGTCTCTTCGAGCTCCTGCCGTCGGGATGGAGATACAGGACGATGAAGACAAGAACGAACTGTCTTAAGAACAGCTTCTTCTCCAGAGCGATCTCGGCCCTGAATGGGAAGCCTGGACTTTGAAAGTCATCTAATCTTCCTTGCTGTACTATACTGTATTGTTTTAATTAGTGTTTTTATGGAGCAGTCAAGTAATTTCGTTGTCCCGAGAGGGGGTAATGACAATAAAGATATTATTATTATTATTATTATTATTATTATTATTATTATTATTAATAATATGAACCCAGGATTATCCATGTATAAATTATTTTTAATTGTGTGTGTGTGTATTTGAAGTGAATTGCTCAATGAGTCATATATATTTCAAACACATGCAGTTTTGTTACACAGTGTGATAAAATGGAATACATAACAATATATAGGAAAATAAATATAGCTTCCAAAAAGTAGAACCCCAAAGCCTTTCTTTCTCTCTTTTTTGCTGTTCCAGAGCACAAGCTGAACAGACAAGATAAATACTTTCATAGATCTACTGTAAAAAAGAAAGAACACAAAGTATTTGTTCTACCCACAGTTTGCAGAAAGAAAACTGTTATACTGCCATCTAGTGGCTTAAATCTTAAAACAGGAAATAGCGCTTTGGATTTAAAGCAAGACTGATCATTATAGTGGCCAAACTTCAAACATAAAAACAAACACAAACCAATATATTTTTATGATTTGTCCTAATTTCAGTCATTCTTCTATAATTGCTTTGAAGGTGCAGATCAGCTCTAATTTTAAAAAAATATTAGTGTTTTCTAGCCCAATTCAAGCCTGCACAAATTGTTATTCTGCCACTACGTAGAATGCTGAGTACCATACTAATTCCAATGGCTTGGTCTAACCGCTAGCCATCAAAAGGCCATTAATCAGGACCCTCCTGTCCACCATCAAACCCAATGAGAATTTGTATCTAGACCTTCACTTATTGGTAGAACACATGCTTTGTCCAGAAAAAGTCGTATGTTCAATTCCTGACATCTCCAGACAAGGCTGAAAAGCATTCCTTTCTGAAATCCTAGAATTCTTATTGCTGATCAGTGTACACAATACTGAGCTAAATAGAGGAACGAGTCAGTAAAAGGCAGCTTCCTCCAAATTTTGTATAAGCAAAGAATAGGCTCACAACAATGCTATGGATAACATGAAACCTTTCTCTTCCCTCACATTTTCTGGTTGTTTCTAAGTGCTTTGGAAATCAAAGGCAGATAAATAAAATCTTTCATTTACTTTTCATTTATTATGCATATGTTCCAGCTTGTCAAGACAGTCGTACCTTGGTCCTCGAACAGAATGCATCCCGGGAGTCCATTCGACGTCCAGAACTGTTCAAAAACCAAGACGTGGCTTCCGATTGGCTACAGGAATGTCCTGCAGCCAATCGGAAGCCACGGAAGCTACACCGGACGTTCGGCTTCTGAAAATCATTTGAAAACCGGAACACTCACTTCCAGTTTTCAATTGTTCAGGAGCCGAAACGTACAAGTTCCAAGGCGTTTGGCAACCAAGGTATGACTGTATCCTTCTTAAATTGTGGTGCCCAGAATAACACAGTAGTCCAGGTGTGGTCTGACCAAGGCAGAATAGAGAGCAACTATGACTTCCCTTGATCAGGACACTATACTTCTGTTGATGCAGCCTAAAATAGCATTAGCCTTTTTTGCTGCTGTATCACACTGTTGACTTATGGTAGTCTTATGGTAGCTGTAGTCTACTAAGACCCCTATATCCTTTTCGAATGTATTACTGGAATGCAAAGTGTCCCCCATCTTATATTTGTATAGCTGGTTCTTCCTGCCCAAGTCTAGAAGCTTACATTTGTCCCTATCAAAATTCCTTTTGCTAGTTTTGGTCCATTCTCCAATCTGTTAAGGTCATATTGAATCCCACTTTCTGTCTTCAAGAAGCATTGGCTGCTCCCAGTTTGGTGTCATCTGCAAATTTGACGAGCAATACTTTCATCCAAGTCATTTCTAAAGATTTTAAACAACAATGGATTCAGGACAGAATCCTACGGCACCCCACTTGTCACTTTTTCCCCAGGATGATGAAGAACTATTAATTAGTACTTTTGGAGTTCAGTCAGTCAACCAGATACAAATCCACCTAACAGTTATCTTGTCCAATGAAAATTTCTGAACTGCTGAAGTCACCAGATACCTCTCTAAGCCTCTTCCTCCAAACAGTGGCAAACCAACAAGAAATGTGTGCTCACAACTCCTTAAGGAAAAGCTGGTAAAACCATTAGCTGACTGGATGGTGGGTGATAATGGGGAGAACATTCAGAGCACAGATCTCAAAGTTTACAAAGAAAACGCAAGTTATCACATTAAAAGAATGGAAGTCATCCTTATACCTTAGGGCAGATGATTTGTCCATGTAGCCCAAACTATACTATTCTAATTGGCCAAGGCTCTCAATGGTTTCAGGCAGAGATTGTTTGCATCACCTGCTCCCTAATCCTTTTAACTGAAATTGAAACTAGACCTTCTGCATGCAAAGTGCTATACCACTGGGCTACAGTCTCTCTCAATCTTGCACTTCTCTGTAATTACACAAAGAATCTTGCTATTTTCAGTCATGTCCAAAGTAGGTCCCTCAAATTATAGCATTCACATCCTGAAGAGGACCACTCTGAAAAAGGTGAGTCATTTGCATTTCCTGTTTTTCCTCCTTGTCAATAACTCTATTAATTCACTACTTTAATTCACATTTACTTTCACCAACTTCCTAAAAAAGCAAGATTAAAGCATGCATTTCTGAGGTCTTTAAGACACTAAAATCTACCAGTTCTTAACTTTCTCCTTGAAATGTTTAGAACCTCTTAAATTTACTGCTGTCTTTCTGCCTCTTTTCCTTTAAAATCCTGCTTACATGATTCTTTGTCCCCCATGCCATTTAAATGAAATTAGTAACAATAAAACACTAGTATTTGGAAAAAATCCATTTCACTACAAAACAAACAGAAACCTAGAGAATTATAGTGGTTCAAGTAACTGAGAAGGAAGCCTGCTCACTTGCAGACTGTCTCAACGCCCTCTGTTTATATAGCCTATTCCATGAGCAGGATGCTGACATAATACAGCTTACTGATTTTCCACACTCTGATCCAATCATAACAAAGTCTGCAGATCCTAATTTTGCTTACAAGACCTCTTGCATGCTTATTCATTAGTCCATTGGGGGAGGGAATGTAAAATCAGTTTTCTACTAACCAAAATACATTAAATAATACAATAAGTTTCAGAATACAGCTTGCACTGCACAATTATATTTCCGCTAATATTTATTAAGGTCCTAACAATAAACTTAACAAGAATTTATTATCAGCATGTATGCTGATACAACCAGAACATTAGGTGTTGTTTCCCGACATACAAAAATTGAATCAAAGAGGGAAAAACAAATATTATCCATTTGAAAACCTTGAACA